TGCCCTGCTACAATGGCACCCCCGCCCCTGGCCTCGCCTCGCCTTTGCCTCACCCCGTAGGACTAGCCTCCTGCCTCCTGCCCCACTGCCATAGATCCCTGGATCTCCCGTCCCCCACCCTCCCCACGAGCAACATCGAGTTGACCACAACCCACCTTGGCCATACCACCCAATCTGCCATGACCACCAAGACACTCCAACCCCCTTAGGCCATGCCCACCTGGCACCTGGTAATAAAATACCTATATTCCGGCATTAGGGCGACCCGGTGTATAACGACCCCACCGTTCGATGTCCCCCCCCCCGGTCCCGCAAGAACGATCGCGCCGAAGTCGTCATGCCTAGAAATTCCGTCTTATACGCCAGAAACTACGTTATTTCCGGCGTATAAGATGATCGACGCGAGTCGCATGCCTAGAAAGTCGTCTTATAACGCGAGAAACTTAACTAGTTATTTCCGGCATCATAAGACGATCGAGCATAGTCGCATGCCTAGAAAGTCGTACTAATACGCCGGAAACTACGTTAGTTTCTGGCACATAAGACGATCGACGTCGAGTCGCTGCCTAGAAAGTCGTCTTATACATCAGAAGCTCCTATGTCCGGCGTATAAGACGCGTATAAACGACTGTGCCGTATAAGACTGACCCCGCGATTTCGTAGGCTTGTTTTCAACGCTCTCAAAGTCTTCTTATTACGCCGATATACGGTAGTGTTTTGGGGTTGCGTTTGGCATTCTTCTCCGCAAGGTTCACCATTACTTTCTTATACTCTCAATGCCAAATATTTCATGTTTTCCGAGCGGTGTGCGGGGGCAGGCGGGGTGCTCAGAAATATCCAAATGATGAACAGAAACATCCTGCTGTTCGTTTTACCCGCGTCCACAACCGTGACCCCTCGAAGGAAAAGTGGCGGGTTTGATTTGGACTCCATCTTACGTTTCTGGAACAGCCATTTCACCCAACGCACACAACTCTGCCAATTGCCACGTCTTGGTGGTACGTGATGCGAAGGCAGCCCCTGGAACTGCCGGAGTTGGATCTCCCTTGCTTGGGGTTTACTCAGCTTGCCATCTTTCTGAGGTTGGTAAAACGAGATCAGATCGATGGGGGGGGGGAACCATACTGGACATCCATAACTGCTTCAAGGGCTATAAACACATGGGGCGGTATGTACTGAGGTGGCCCCAGCAGTGAGTGCAGTACTGAAGGCCACTTAGACTGACTGTTTCAGCAGGTCAGCGGTTCAAATCTCACCGGCTCAAGGTTGACTCGCCTTCCATCCTTCCGAGATAGGTAAAATGAGGACCCAGATTGTTGGGGCAAATGTAATATATATATACATTGCTTACTGGTGTACACCGCTTAGAGAGTGCTTGCACTTAAAGTGGTATATAATCTCATAAAAATAAATGTAGTCTATTCTATTGTTATATCTTTTGGCTCCAGATAAACCAGTGTGTCTCACCTTTTATGCCGTGACCCCCAACTGGTCGTATGTCAAGGACTACCCAACCGGTCGTAAGTCAAGGACTTTCCCGCCCGGGAGTGCCGCGCATGCGTGGTGCCGCCCCCTGCACAGCGGAGGGCGTAGCTGGCAAGCGGCAGAGACGGAGCAGTGCCCACCACCGCTGGGCCACCAGCTGTCCCATCCCTACGGAGATAAGGCACCCGCTGGGCCAATGCCGCGGCCAGCACCCTCCCTGCGCCCGCCGTCCTCCCGCCTCCCACCCCGTGCCCTCTTTTACTTACATTTTTAGTAGTTGCTCACAGGGAGGGTGGAAACTTCGCAGTAGCTCGCTTTCGCTGCAGACACTTGCAAGCACCGTTTTGCAGAATGGGAACTTTTTGGCGGGCTCAGCAGGGCAGAGAACAGCCTGTACATTCCTATTGGCTTTTGAACCCAATAGAATTAGACCCTAGTCAAGGAGTCTAGTTCTATTGGCTTTCAAAAGCCAATAGAATAAAAAGGAGTAGCACAGCTAAGGAAAAGGGTGGAAAAAATGGCGGCTGCGTTGTTTGGCGACCCCTATGAATGTCGTTCGACCCCACATGGGTCGGCGACCATGGTTTGAGAATGCTGCCCTAGGATCATCGTCAAAGGGGTCTGTTTGTATAAATGCTTGGAATACTGTAAAATTCTTCACTATGCTTCAGGAGGCCCTGAAGATCCACAGAAATTGGCATTTGGTGTGCGTGAAATATTTTCCTGGAATGTCTACACTGGGTCTGCAATGTAAAATGCTCACTGAAGAGAAAACCCTCCAGTTCCGGACTACTGGACACTCTTTCCATGTGGACAACCACCTAAGCCCGTGGTTCCTCAACCTGTGGGTCAGGACCCATTTGGGTCTAACAACCATTTCACGGGGTCGCCAAACAACACAGAGTCCTGCATTTCCCCCCCCCTTTTCCATAGCTGTGCTACTTCCTTTTATTCTATTGACTTTGAAAGCCCATATAATAGACTCTCTTGAATAAGTCAAATTCTATTGTCATTCAAAAGCCATAGGAAATTGTCCAGGCTGTCCTCTGCCCTGCTTAGGCCCGCCAAAAGTCCCATTGTGCAACGGTGCTGCACCAGTTGAGTAGTCCTCGACTTAACGACGTTGAGTAGACCTCAGACTTAACGACCGGTTTGGGTGGGTCGCGGCATTAAAAGTTGAGACCACTGTCCTAGGATTTATCAAGGTTTCGTTACAGGTAATCCTCGAACTTGCAGCAAGCATTATCTACTGACCACTGTAAAAGTTTGCTCCTCCGCCCATGTGGGGGGGGGGGGGGGTATCTGACCACATGTTGAGCCTTGGCAACCGTCTGCTTTTACCACCAGTTTCCATGAATAGTGCTCCAATCGATCACAGTTTACAGGGGGTTTGCCATTTTTTGCAGAAATACAATTTGGAAGAATGGCTTTATTTATACTTAGGACTGCTTATTGGCCAAAAATATCCTAAAATCAGATCCTGTCATATGGGTACCCCAACAGATGACTGTGGAAACCTATAATTGGTTAATTGAGGTTATGTGGCACTGATAATGTACCTAGTTGGTAATGAAAACGTCTGCAAGAAACAATGAAGCTCAGAGAGCACCAGGTCCCCACATCAGCTCTGGCGCAAAGACCTTGTCTGAGTGAATGAGCTTTCTCATTCCCACCATCAGCGAGAGGGAACCCCCATCCATCCTCGCTGGACTTGGTTGCGTGGGTCCAAGAAGGGATCTCCTAGGAACATGAAAGCCTTGTCTTTCTACAGCCTTCATCACCACCTCCTATCCAACCCTCCGGGAGGAGGCTGGGAAAGGGCTTTGACCGTCGTTTTAATAAAAGCACTTCTCTGCTGTGGACCTCTCGCTGTCTCTGCCCTGCTGAGCCCGCCAAAAGTCCCATTTGGCAAACGGTGCTGCACCAGTTGAGTAGTCCTCGACTTACGACCAGTTGAGTAGTCCTCGACTTACGACCGGTTGGGGGTTGCGGCATTAAAAAGGTTGAGAACCACTGCTTTAGGTCTTAGCGTGGTCTGTAATAGTCACTGGTGTAGCACTTACGTGAGCCTCCATCATGTGCACTTTAAACTACGCACACAACAGACTCACATTAACTGAATTTTGGGTTGCATGAAATTCAGCCCGGTATCAATTCACAATGTGCACTAAATTGATGACATGGTTCAAAGTCGCACTTCTTGTGACCTACGATGTACCGCAGTGATGGCGAACCTTTTAGAGATCGAGTGCCCCAAAACCGTCCCGTCCCTGCTCCGCCCCTCCTGTCCCCCCCTTCCCACCCACAGGGCCACCCACCACCTCCATGGCCTGCTGCAGATTGCCCAGGCGGCCCTGTAGCGCCATGGCGGCCACGTTCTCCAACTGTGCCCAACAGCATCATCGGCGTGCGACAAAGTGCGAGGGCAGAGTCTTGTCCGTGCTGCCCGGCTGACATGTGCTTGGCTGTGCTGCTCCGTGCAGGCTGCACCGGGGGTCAACTCTCCTCTGGGGGGGGGCTGCTGGTGAGGGGGCCACGGGGGGGGGAGGAGGCAAGGCTGGAGCGACAGTGCACATGCCCACAGAGAGGGCTCTGAGTGCCGCCTCTGGCACGTGTGCCATAGGTTTGCCACCACTGCTCTACCGTATGTCCTAAGTAAGATATGGCCCAATTCATCATGTGTGTCAGTGAGGGAGCAGGAAGTCACAAGAACCAAGATGGTGGCTGTTTTAAAGGACATCACATACACAGCTAAAAAGCAGTACAGTAGAGCACAACTTGACGTCCATCTTGACTTTTTTGATCCCCCCCCCCCAGTACATGCCCTGAAAAAAGTCCTGTTGGTTATTTTGAACAATACTTTTATTAAGGATTATGTTGTTTGTCCATCGATTTCGATGAAGACATCTTGTGGGTTATGGGCCATCAAAGATGTGTCCGTAGGTGGCTGATAAGACCAATGTTAGCACGGAATGTTCTGCCACATACTGAACAAAGAAATGTAGACACTGTTACTTCAGCATTTGCAGCTCTGGCTTTGCAGAGTACTCGCTTTTCTTGTGCCAAGATTGTCCTTCTGTGTTCATATGTCTGGCAACCCTGGTACACCAAGGTGCACCATGTTGGTCGATCATGCGCCGGAAGTTCCCAATGTCCAGGGACTTAAGAGAAGCTTTCAACGTGTCTTTGTATCACTTCTTTTGTCCCCTGTGCGATCGCTTTCCTTGAGACAGCTCACCATAGAAGAGCTGTTTAGGGATGCGATGATCTGGCATCCTTACAACATGGCCCACCCAGCGCATCTGGGCTTTCATCAACAGAGTGTAAACTGATGATAGGCCTTTTTTTTCCCTTCATTTTTCATATATTCACACACACACATACACACACATATATTTGTATTACATTTCTTTCTTTGATCTGTGAATATAATCTTTAATTCATCATCATCAATTAAGGATTATATTCACAGATCAAAGAAAGAAATGTAATACAAATGTATATGTGTGTGTGTGTGTGTGTGTGTGTGAATATATGAAAAATGAAGAAAAAAAGAAAACCCTCCAAAAAAGATAGTAAAAAAAACCTTTCCCTCTCCATCCTCAGCCAGCATATTCAACATCAACACTTTATCACTAAATAAAAAACCAGATGCATCTTCATTCCATCCCTTGCCCCATTTTCGCCTCTCTAAATCTTCTGTTCTCCTTATTGATCAACAGCAGTTTAATTAAAAAAAACACAGAAATACCTGGATGCCTTGAGTTATGACTGTTACAATTTATGGCCAGTTGTGAAATCACTCTGGCAAGTTACTAATGCAGCTGAGCAAGCAAAATACTCTCACACTCCCAAGATTTATACACTTTTGCTCGATTGTGTATTCTAATTCTAAGATGGTATTGAAAGTTAATTGATCAGACAAAGTAACATTTGTACGATTTCCCTTCTGTCACTCTGTGAAGTTCCAGGTGAGCAGTAAGGTGTGAAATTTGAAAAAAAAATGTATTCCACATTGTTCACATACCTCTACTTTGGACTTTCTAATGCATTTTAGCTTTGATTTACAATGAAACATTTTCACACGCTCTACACACTTGTAAGGCCACTCTTTTTAGTGATTTCGGGCGTGCTGGCGAAGTGATGAAACATGGACAAAGTATTTCCCACACTCCAGACATTTGTGTGGTTTTTCTCCACTGTGGGTTTGCTGATGCTTCAAAAGAGTACTTTTTTGAGAAAAACATTTATCGCACTCTGAGCATTTATGGGGTTTCTCTCCTGTATGGATTCGGCTGTGACAGCTAAGCTGACATGACTGAGCAAATGTTCTCCCACAGTCGAAACATTTGTAGTTTTTTTCCCCTGTGTGAATTTTCACATGAGTTCTAAGGGCTGATGTGGTAGAATAAAATTTTCCACATTCAATGCATTGATATGGCTTCTCCCCTGTGTGGGTTTTATGATGTTTCCAAAGATTTCCCTTTTGAGCAAAACAGTTTCCACATTCTATGCATCTGTACGGCTTCTCTCCTGTGTGAACCCTCTGATGCAGTAAAACGTTTTGTTTTCGGGTAAAGGATTTCCCACACTCCCCACATTTGTATGGTTTTTCCCCTGTGTGGATTCTCTCATGATTCTGACACCCATCTCGCGTAAAAAAATTTCTCCCACACTCCCCACATTGATAGGGTTTCTCCCCTTTGTGCCTCCTCTGGTGTGTCCGAAGTTGAGAAGAATTCGTAAATCGTCTCTCACATTCTGGGCATTCATAGGGTTTTTCTCCAGTGTGAATTCTCTGATGTAGCACCAGATTTCCTTTTCTGAAAAAACATTTCCCACATTCGAGGCACTTTTCCTTTTTCTCCCCTCTGTGTGTTTTCTCATGAGTCCGAAGAGTTGAACTCTGGGTGAAACATTTCCCACACTCAAAGCATTTGTAAGATTTGATTCCTGCATGAACCTTCTCATGGACCCAAAGACTTGAGTTCTGAGAAAAGCTCCTCCCACATTCCCAACACTTGTAAGGTTTCTCCCCTGTGTGAATTCTCTCATGGTTTCTGAGACTGCCTCTTTCACTGAAAAAATTCCCACATTCCAGACACTGATAGGGTTTCTCTCCAGTGTGGATTTTCTGATGTCTAAGAAGATTTGACTTTTGACCAAAGCATAAGTCACATTCCTCACATTTATGAGGTTTTAGTCTGGGGGGGCGTCTGAGGTTTTTCATGTGTTTTCCAGAGGATTTCTCACCCCCCAAAGCTTGACTGGATCCACTTCCCACATGGACCTTGCTGTGGGTCAAAAGGAGGGACCTGCGAGCAAAGGATTTCCCACACTCTGAGCATTCATGGTTTTTTTTGTGGTTTTCTGGAGTGCTGTTTGTGTCTGACGGGGCATCCAAGAGTTTCCCACCCTTCATTCTTTCTGGCGACTGCTGCCTTGTGCTGATTTTCTGTTATCTGTTGATAGTTGACTTGCAGGTAAAACTTTGGTTATCTTTTATCTGCCGTTAGAATGAAAAACAAATTGAGAATATTTCCTTTCGAGACATGTAGAGAATCACAAAATCTCAGCTTTGGAAGGGACCTTGAAGGTCTTCCAGTCTCACCCTCTGCCCAGGGTAGGGTCCCCAGTACACCCGAGACAGTGATGGAGGCCCTACATCTGTAGGAGAGATGTCCTCCACTTAGAACCACAGTCGGGACTGGAATTGTGGTCGTTCCTTGAAGCAGTGGTCATGTAAGGGGTCACATGAGCATTTCACTCCACAACCATAATCCCACATTCCTAGTTGCAATCATGAAGTGATCTTGAGGGTTCTTCATGGGGGGAGGGGTCGACAATGGTCTTGGGGGCATCTCGGGGATGGGGGAGGTCATACAGACCAGGAAGAGCCCCCCATGAGTTCAGGGGTGATGAAGTGGCATGCAAAGCTGCAGCCACTCCTGGAAGCCTGAGCCTCCCCAGCCCGGCCATGCAAAGCAGCATTAATTAACAACAATGCTGGGACTGTGTCTTAAGTGGAGGCCTGGGGCCCTCAGCCATTTCAGCCATCTGCCACTGACCCCAGAACTGCACTTCAGCCCACTGTCTCCGCTGCCACTGAGAAATGAGGCCTTAATCCCCAGACTGGAGGCCTTTGCAGCCTTGCGCCTGTTCCATACTGTTGCTAAGCAACGTGTCCCAAAGCATCTCTACCCTTCTTCAAGACCCCCTCAACTTCCACATTTCCTGTGCCAGGACTCACAGGGCCTCCACTGCCCACTTCAGGCAACCCCACATTCCTTAACTGGGACTTCGTCTGCTTGTGAAGTAGCCTAACAACCACAAGAGCAGGATCGCAGTTTTTAACCAAAGCGGTCACGTGACATCTCATTTAATGGCTGTTTCTCTCATAGAGTGAGATTCCATATTATTATTATGGCTCAACGCACAGTCAGCCAGATGTTCAGACTGGATTTGGCATTTTGTCTACCTACCAAGTCCTGGAATAGACAGATATGGATGTTTGATAGTATTACAGATATCGTCGCAGGATGGAAGCAGTTCCTAGTAAGGCCGCCTTGACTAATGGAGAATTTATTATTAATATTATTATGGGTCATCGCACAGTCAGCCAGATGTTCAGACTGGATTTGGCATTTTGTCTACCTATCGAGTCCTTACCCAGGACCTGGGATAGGCAGATGTGGATGTTTGATGGTATTACAGATATCGTTGCAGGATGGAAGCAGTTCCTAGTAAGGCCGCCTTTGCAATTGACTAATAGCGAATTTGTCAATGCCAATGGTGTTCAAGTGGTGCTCCAGTTGTTTTGGGATTGCACCCAAGGCGCCTATGACTATTGGTACTACCCTTGCTTGCTTTTGCCACAGTCTTTCTATTTCTATTTGTAGGTCTTTGTATTGTGTTATCTTCTCCAGTTCTTTCTCTTCTATTCTGCTATCTCCAGGCACTGCCACATCCACTATCCAGACTTTTTTGTCTTTCTTATCGACAATTGTTAAGTCTGGGGTGTTATGTTGCAGGTGCTTGTCTGTTTGAATTCTGAAATCCCAGAGCAGTTTAATTTTATCATTTATCATTTTCTCATTTATTATTATTATTATTATTATTATTATTATTGTTATTGTTATTATTGTTGTTGTTATTGTTATTATTATTATTATTATTATTATTATTATTATTATTTATTATATTCCTTTTTTAAGGCTTTCTTGTTTAGGGACTCAGTTCAGAGTGCCAGTCAGCAGCAATGATCTTCAGTTACTACTGCTAGGAGACTTTACTGATCTTCCCTCCTAAGTGGATGGCCCATATTTCATTTAAGGCCTGGTGCGGGGGTTACATGATGACCGTCCTGGGAATTTAATTTGGGCGGGGGTCTCTTAAGACCATGCGCGTAGTGGGGGGGCGGAGGGTTTCTGCAGAGTCTCACCTTAATTCCAGGTTGCTTCTCTCTTTGATCAGTTTCCAACCATGGTTTGTCGTCCCTCCCTCTGGTGCTCTGGTGAAGAACCCGGCCCCCTCTGCCTTGTGGCGGCCCCTCAGATACGGGAACTCTGCTATCGTGTCCGAGCCGAAGCTCCCCAAGGAAAACCCGGCAAGCCGAAGAGGCGGATCCGCAGCTACCTTTCTCCTGGCGGGGGGGGGGAAGCTCTCCTGGCGGGAGGGGCGCCCAAAAGCCGGAGGGAGAGCAGCCCGACCTGCCCCGAGCGGGATCCAGAAGCCTCTCCCGAGGGATCCAGCGCCGATCCTGCCAGGGCGAAGTGGGACACGGGGAGGGAAGTGGAGATCCAGCGAGTGGGAGGGCGGGGGCGGGGCTTCTGCTCTCCTCTCGGGCTCCGACTTGTGGCTCCTCCCCCTCCCTGCATTCACCAGCCGGGACTCCCTGTTCCTCCGCTGGGCGTCCGCCTCCGGGGTTCCTCTGCCCATGCGAAGAGTGCCCCGCTGTGCGCGGGCGGGGCTCCCTCCTGCTCCAGCATCTGGGCGGAAGCTGAAGCTCCGCGGTGGCCGCGAAATAGTCCAGGAGGGAATTGCGAGGATTGCGGCGTTTCCCGCAGGCTGGAGAAGAGGGCGGGGACGGGATGCGGACACCGAGGAAAAGCCGCTCCCGGGGGGGGGGAAGAAGGCAGGGGCCGCCCCAGACAGCCCGGGGCCCCCTCGGCGGCTGAGATGGGGGCAGAAGGAGAAGCGGGGCAGGGTCCTCCGTGCAGCCGAGGTTGGGGGAGGGCCGGGAAGAAGCCCCGGGCAGATCCTTTCTAGTGGATCCAAAGATCCCCAAAGTGGATCTAGGTAGCTGCTCCCGCCCCCCTCAATCTCTCTCTGCCTTTTCTAGCCTATGGATCCCTCCAGGTGTTTTTTTTTGGGGGGGGGGTCTCTACCGGCATGCCTCCTCCACGGATCTTCGCCCAAATGCAGTTTCCCCGCCTTTTCCTTCGCTTCCTCCCAAACCATCATCCTCTCCTGTCCGGGCGGGGATCACAAGAATCTTCAGCTGATCCCTTCTCGCCACCCGAAAGATTTCTGATGAAGGCACCCGAGTCTCTCGTCCATGGAGGGCTGCTCTTTATGTCCATTTCCCAATGTTTATTGTCTCTCTGGTCCCAGATGCTGCAGAAGCGAAAATTGGACTTTGAAGCAGGACAGGAAGAGGGTGGACAGGTCTTGAACTTTGGTGTTGGGGAAAACTCCTGAGATTACCACGGACAATCAAGAAAACAGACAAATGGATCACACAAAATAAACCAACCAGAATTCTTACTCCGGGAATAAATAGACCAGGCTCAAACTGCCATCAATCAGAGATAGTCTGGAACAATGTTTGCTTTAAGGAGAAAGCTCTGATGCTGAGAAAGATGGGGGGAATGAGAAGAAGAGGGCAACCAGGGGGGGCTATCCAGGCAGTGGCGATAGGGGATCCATCGGGGGACCTGAAGGATCCGGTTGGGGATAGAGATCATTCTGGAGAAGATTCATCGTGCAGTTGGTAAGAGTCGACACAAACTTGATGGCACAGAATAACCAAAACCTCTGGCCCACTTTGTCATACAGGTGGTCCTCGTCTTACGACCACAATAGAGCCCAAAATTTCTGTTGACAGGCAAAACAGTAAAGTGAGTTTTGCCCCATTTTAGGACCTTTCTTGCCAAAGTTGTTAAGTGAATCACTGCACTTGTTAAGATAGCGACACGGTTGTTAAATGGATCTGGCTTCCCCTTGACTTTGCTTGTCAGAAAGTTGCAAAAAGTGACCACACAATCCTAGGACACTCCCACCGTCATAAAGAGGAATCAGCTGCCAATCGTCTGAATTTTGATCACGTGACCATGGGGATGCTGCAATGGCTATAAGTGTGAAAAATGGTCATATGTTGCTTTCTTCAGTGCCGTTGTAACTTTGAACAGACACTAAATGAACTGTTATAAGTTGAGGACTAGCTGCACACTTTTTAACTTGTTTTTTGACCATTTCAGTTTTTAGAAAAAGCTGGTATCTTTTAGCTATTTCATGGTCAACATTTGCACATACAGGACTTCAGTTTCAAATTCTGTCTCCCAATAGGTTGTGTGTAATTCCAAGTGTCCTTTTGTACACTTTCAATCTTTCTCTCAACTCCACAGAGAAAAACTGAGAAACTAAATCCCTCTGCTGATCTCCTGACTTCCCCTTGTATTCTCCCACGTTCCTTTTTTCTAACAACTTCCATACGTGACTGTTCCCCTTTGCCTGCTCTTTTCCTCTCCCATACATGGCCTTCCTCTGCCAGGGCTTTCTCGGGCACCCGCTGGGCTTACATCCCTTCTGTATTCTCACTTCGATGCATCACTTCGATCACAAGGATTGTTGAGGTTGTACCACATCAAAACCAGGCCACCCAAACTTCAGCTCCTGCTCTTGTTATTTTTAAATTCTCTTATTTCTCAGCAAAACTCATTCTTTTTGTCCAAACCGAACAGGCTGCAAAGGAGAATTTCCCAATCAGACTATCCTCTTTTCTTTGCATCCTGAAGAGTTTTAAATTCAACCCCTGGTTTTTACCTCGGCATATAAACCTAGATTGCTTAGGGAGTGCACCTATTATTTGGAGAGGTATTGCTTAAAACAGAAGCACCATGAAAGTACGTAATACATCCATTTTTAATCACAGAAATTCTACCCCAATGGTAACAGTTGTCATTTCCACATCTTAACACATTCTTCTTGATTTCATCCCATGCCTTAACATAATTATTTTCATATACAATTTGTATTTTTTTAATGCTCAAGTTTCTTCCTGTTCCCTCATTTCTTCAAAACACTTTTTACCCGATCAATTATATTTGCTCTCCCATGTTCTTGTTTAGTTTGCCATCTTTGTCTTTCAGCTCTTAATTTTAAAATCAGCTAATAACCAACACAAAAATATTAATTTTTCCATTACCATTTTTGTTCCTTACAAAGAGATTTTTCAAAATTACTATAAAATTATCAGCAAATGCTCTTCTTTTCCCCAGGCTTCTGTCTGCTGCGCTGTAGGATATTTATTCCATGTTTCTATTTATTTCCTGAATTTGTTAATCCTGCCCAACTCCAAAAAGTCGGTCACTTTCCCTCTTTGCAGTTTTTCTCTCAGAAGCTCCTGACTTTTAACTGGGCTCTTGACTTGCCTTAACCCCATCTTGCCAGACCCACAGAGAGACCCTCCCTTTCATTGTCTCAGCTAAGAGGCCACACCTGGCCAGCCTTGGCCACTCCAGGAAAGCTCAGCAGTGCTGCATGGGAGACCACCAGGAGGTCCATGGGCTCTGGGCTGGCTGGGAGGTAAATACACATTCAAGAGGAAAATGGGATCTCCCTGTCATTTTAATAATAATAATAATAATAATAATAATAATAAAGTTGAAAGGTCATCTAGTCCAACCCCCTGCTCAGGCAGGAAACCCTATACCATTTCAGACAAATGGCTGTCCAGTCTCTTCTTAAAAACTTCCAGTGTTGGAGCATTCACCGCTTCTGGAGGCAGGTTGTTCCATTGGTTAATTGTTCTGTCAGGAAATTTCTCCTTAGTTCTAGGTAGCTTCTCTCCTTAATTAGTTTCCATTCGTTGCATCTTGTCCTGCCTTCCGGCGCTTTGGAGAATAGCTTGACTCCCTCTTCTTTGGGGCAGCCCCTGAGATATTGGAATACTGCTATCATGTCCCCCCTCGTCCTTCTCTTCATTAAACTAGACATAATTCCAGCAGCCATTCCTTATATGCTTTAGCCTCCAGTCCCCTAATCATCTTTCTTGCTCTTCTCTGTACTCTTTTCTAAAGTCTCAACATCTTTTTTACATCGTGGTGACCAAAACTGGATGCAGTATTCCAAGTGTGGCCTTACCAAGGCATTGTAAAGTGGTATTAATACTTCACGTGATTTCATTCTATCCCTCTGTTAATGCAGCCTAGCACTGTGTTGGCCTTTTTGGCAGCTGTAGCACACTGCTGGCTCATACTTAAGTGATTGTCCGCTAGGACTCCGAGGTCCCTCTCACAGTTACTACTATTGAGCAAGGTACTCCCTATACTATACCTGTGCATTTGGTTTTTCTTGCCTAAATGTAGAACCTTACTTTTTTCACCACTGAATTTCATTTTGTTAGATGGCGCCCAGTGTTCAAGTCTGTCCAGATCCTTCTGTATCTTAAGCCTGTCTTCTGGAGTGTTGGCTATTCCTGCCAGCTTGGTGTAGTCTGCAGATTTGATGAGTTCCCCATCCCCTAGTCCAAATCGTTGATGAAGATGTTGAAGAACACTGGGCCCAGAACAGAGCCCTGGGGCACCCCACTACACACTTCCCTCCATGTACATGCGGTTCCATTGAGGACCACATGCTGAGTACGGCTGGTCAGCCAGCTACGGATCCATCTGGTAGTGATGCTGTCTAACCCACATTTTTCTATCTTATCAAGTAGTAGGTTGTGATCTACTTTATCAAATGCCTTACTGAAGTCCAAGTAAATTATATCCACAGCATTCCTCTGGTCCACTAATTTTTTCACTTGGTCAAAGAATGCAATAAGATTTGTCTGGCATGATTTGTTTTTGACAAACCCGTGTTGGCTTTTAATAATGACTTTGTTTGCCTCTAGGTGTTCACTGATTTGTTATTTGATTATCTTTTCCAGAATCCTCCTATGTGCAACAGGATCGCAAGGCAATTTCTATCATCTCATATTATTTGAGGAATCTAAACTGAGTTTCCTTCTTCTCTTCGGGACCCCAAAATCTTAATATCCAAAATGAAAAGTAAAAAAATCAGAAATAAAATTTTAAATTCTGCTGAAGCATTTGTGGAATCTCTCCTGTGCGGACGCTTTGATGTACAAAAAGCACAAGAAACTGGGACAATAAATTGCCATGCTGGTTTCCTGATTTTGAAGGTTTCCCCACACCAAAACACTGTAGGATTTCCCTTCTGGGACTGTGTGAAGTTCCTGGTGAATTATAAGATATGATGTTTCAAAAAATGTTTTCCACATTCTTCACAACTGAAGGGGTTTCTTTCTACTATGGACTTTCTGATGCATTTTTAGCTGAGACTTACAATGAAAAGTTTTCTCACATTTTGCACACTTGTAAGGCGATTCCCCTGTCTGACTTCTGATGTGCTTGCGAAGTGATGAGGTTCGGGCAAAACATTTCCCACACTTTGGACATTTATATGGTTTCTCTCCAGTGTGGGTTCGCTGATGTCTCACAAGAGTATTTTTTTGAGAAAAACATTTATCGCACTCCGAGCATTTATGGGACTTCTCTCCTGTATGGATTCGGCTGTGGATTCTAAGGGAATATGAATGAGCAAATGCTCTCCCACAGTCTAAACATTTGTAATTTCTTTCCCCTGTGTGAGTTTTTACATGGCTTCTGAGATGTGATGTGGTAGAATAAAATTGTCCACATTCGAAGCATTGATATGGCTTCTCCCCTGTGTGGGTTTTATGATGTTTCCAAAGGTTTCCCTGTTGAGCAAAACATTTTCCACATTCTAGGCATCTGTACGGCTTCTCCCCTGTGTGGGTTTTATGATGTGTCCAAAGGGCTCCCTTTTGAGCAAAACATTTTCCACATTCTAGGCACTTGTACGGCTTCTCCCCTGTGTGGGTTTTACGATGTCTCCAAAGGTTGCCATGTTGAGCAAAACATTTTCCACATTCTAGGCATCTGAATGGCTTCTCTCCTGTGTGGAGCCTCTGATGCCTTCCAAGGCTTTGTTTTAGGGAAAAGGATTTCCCACACTCCCCACATTTGTATGGTTTTTCCCCTGTGTGGATTCTCTCGTGAAACTGAAGCTCTCTTTGTGTAACAAAACGTTTCCCACATTCCCCACATTGATAGGGTTTCTCCCCTTTGTGCCTCTTCTGATGTCTCTGAAGTTCAGAAGAACACATAAATCGTTTCTCACATTCTGGACATTCATAGGGTCTCTCTCCAGTGTGACGTCTCTGATGCTGCACCAGGGTTGATTTCTCGGAAAAACATTTCCCGCATTCAAGACACTTTTCATTTTTCTCCCCTCTGTGTGTTTTCTCATGAGTCCGAAGGGTTGAACTCAGGGTGAAACATTTTCCACACTCAAAGCATTTGTAAGATTTTATTCCTGCATGAACCTTCTCATGGACACGAAGACCGCCCGTCCGAGAAAAGCTCTTCCCACATTCCCAACACGTGTAAGGTTTCTCCCCTGTGTGAATTCTCTCATGCTTTCTGAGGGTGCCTTTTTTACTGAAAAATTTCCCACATTCCAGACATTGATAGGGTTTCTCTCCAGTGTGGGTTTTCTGATGTGTAAGAAGACTTGACTTTTGACCAAAGCGTAAGTCACATTTCTCACATTTATAGGGCTTTAGTCTGGGGGAGCTTCTGCAATCTTTCATGTCTTTTCCAGAGAAGAATTTTTTGCCCTCCAAACCTTGACTGGATCCGCTTCCCACATGGACCTTCCTGTGGCTCAAAAGGACGGACCGGCGAGCAAAGGATTTCCCACATTCTGAGCATTCATGGGGGTTTTTGTGGTTTTTCAGAGTGCTGCTTGTGTCTGACGAGGGATCCGAGAGTTTCCCGCCCTCCATGAGTTCTGGCGGCTGCTGCCTTGCGCTGATTTTCTACTATCTCTTGAAAGGTGATGAAAGGTGACTTGCAGGTGAATCTTTGGTCAGAGTTGTTTTCCTGCAGTGGAAAAAGAAAGAAGATGAGAATAATGTTTCCTTTTGACAATGGTAGAGAATAACAAATTTGTAGCCTTGGAAGGGATCATGAAGATCTTCCAGTCTTACCCTCTGACCAGGGCAGGGGTCCACAGTATACCCCAGAGAAAACCTCCATTGATTCCATCCCCACAGATCCCTCGGAGGCAAACTCTCCTGCTGTTCACTGATTCTATCTTTTCCTCCTTGGTTCTCGTCCTATGACGAGGAGAAAAAGAAGCCCTGAAACTTTAGGTAGGAGGAAGGCCCAGGCAAGGGATGTGGGCGTGTCTGGGGGTAGGGGAGGTCCAGGAAATCAGGCTCAGGTCAGCCATGTGTTCGGGGGGTGATGAAGTGGGATGCACAGCTGCAGCCACCCCTGGAAGCCTGAGCCGCCCCATCCAGACCATGGAAAGCAGCCCCGAATGACAGCAATGGCGGGGTTGGGCCTTAAGTGGAGGCCTGGGGTCACTGAACCCAGACCTGGACTTCAGCCCACTGTCACCTCAGCCACTGAGAAATGAGGCCTTAATCCCCACAATGGAGGCCTTTGCAGCCTTGCGCCATTCTCCAAGTCACGTGTTCCATACATGTTTCCAAGCAACGTGTCCCAAAGCATCTGTAAGCTTCTCCAGGACCTCCTTAAGTCAAACGTGGCCTGTGCCAGGACTCACAAATACCTCTCCTGCCCACTTCAGGCAACCCCACATTCCTATCTGGGATTCATCTGCTTAACGACATGTGAAATTGTTTAACAGCCACAACCTCAGGAGTAGAGGATTGCAGTGACTGAGCCAAACTCTCACGTGACATCTTTTTTTTAATAAAGATTTTATTGGTTTTTTCATCAATATATGTTAATTTTTCCAATCAACAAGTTGTCTGGAGTTTGCTATGCTAATACATGTTCAATTCCTAATCCTTCATTCTTTCCTCTAGCCAACAATAAAATAGGTCCCAAATTTGATAATAGTCTGTATCTTCTTTCTCTTTCAACCTCATAGTTAATCTGTCCATCTCTGCACATTCCAATATTTTCCTAATTATTTCTTCTTCTGACAGTCCTTCATTCTTCCAGTATTGTGTCAAAAATTATTCTCGCTGCTGTAGTGATGTGTAAGATTAAATATAATTTCTGCTTATTAGACTTTTCAGGCATAATACCTAGTAAAAAAAGTTCAGGTTTAAAATCCACTTGTTCACCCAATATTTTTTCTAACCACATATGTATCTTTCTCCAATAGGCCTTTGCCTTACCACATGTCCACAAATGTGATAGTATGTGCCTATGTTATATTTTCATTTCCAACATCTATCTGACATATTTTTAAACATTTTTGCTAATCTTGCTGGCGGCAGGTGCCATTTATAAAACATTTTATACAGATTTTCTTTGTATGAAGTTGACATTGTTAATTTATATTTTCTCTCCCATAACATTTGCCATTTTTCTAATTCTATATTATAGCCAAAAAAATTTGCCCATCTTGTCATTGTTTCTTTCACTTGTTCACTTTCCATATCCAAAATTAACAAAAAGTTATACATTTTCTTAATTAATTTCTCATCTGAGGTTAACTTAACGACCAAGACTCCAGTGCCAATTGTGGTCATAAGTCCAAGACAAACTGAGGATATACCAAAAACTAAGGCATCGCATAAGCAAAAGGGAAGAAAAGAGAATTCAGAACACATTTCTGATTCTTATCCTTTGTTTCTGCTCCTTGGGACTTTTGCATTTATGAGCTCCATCCCATCATGACTTCTTGATTCCTGCTTCCTTGCAAAACATTTTTTATTTTATAATATATTACAAAAAAAGGGGAAAAATAGATCCAGCAAACCTCAGACCAATCAGCCTGATATCAGTACCTGGGAAGATCCTGGACAAGATGATCAAGCAAGGAATCTGTGAAAGCCTAGGAAAAAAATTACTAGAAGCCAACGTGGGTTTGTCAAAAACAGATTATGCCAGAAAAAACTTACTGCATTCTTTGCCAAAGTGACTAAAATAGTAGAATGGTGAAATTCAATGGATATACTATACTTGGACTTCTGTGAGGCATTTGAGAAAGCCGACCACAGTCAACTTCTTGGTAACACACAAAAAAAATGTGGGATAGACAGCATCACCACCAAAGGGATTCATAACTGCGTGGACCAATCGCACTCACCATGTAGTCCTCAATGGAGCTACATTACGGTTTCACTCAAACACAATTTCTCTTTGGTCCAATAAAATTTTTAAAAATATATGCTTATTCTCCAAACCAAGATTTAACCAAGATTTGTTTACTCACCTTTAAAGTTACAACTAAGAGGTCTCTGGGTCACTTGTTCCACCCTGTGGGTCAAGGTCAGGTATGGCTCTTATTGATGACCAGTTTGATTTCTCCTTAATCCATTGGCCCTTTGTGTAGGAAGCTGCTTCTCCAACTGGACCACGATTTCCAAATTCTCTAAAATGGAGTCCCGGCCAAAAGTTGGTGGGTCCCGATCCAAGAACGCTCGTTCTCCTCTGCGGAGCTCACGGCCACATCCTCATTGGTCTCCTGCAAAAAGAAATGAGAAAGGCTCAGATGCTGACAGTAATCTGAATATAATCTGCAATCCACTTAGAAAAGGGATGAGAATATGGAATTATTTGTTGAGGATATAAAATAATGGAGATAGAATCCTGATTGAAGAAGATCTTGATGAGCCAAAAGGGAAGAAACCAGCAAGATGAAGTCCAACAGGGACCAATGCAGTTGTGAGTAGGAAAACTCAATGGAATGTGAGAGAGATCAGATGGGGCAGAGCATGTGTAGAAAGGGCTGCTCTTTCCTACTCTTGTTGGAGGCTGCAAGGCCATAAAGATTCCAGGTAGGCATTTCAAAAATATTTGCAATTAAGAAAAGCAGCCTTTTGGCCATCGGCTTATTTTATCACCTGCTCACAAGACCAGCCTCAAAAAGACATAGACTGGACACACTGCTTAAAGCAATGGAATTTTTTGGCAATCATAGAGCGATCCTGAACCCAAGAAGCAAGAGGAAATGGCAGCTGAAGGAGTGGCTAAACCAGGGGTGTCAAACTTAATTTCATTGAGGGCCGCATCAGCATGGACAGGATGGGTGTGGCCAGCTCTACATCGTTCGCGTCAAGGGTGCCTGTGCGGGCCTGGGCAGGAGTGGGACAGATCTGAGGGTCTCTGGCAGAAGGGGGTGGGACCAAACCAAGGCACCGTCCACTGGAGGAGCCTCACTGTTCCTCTCAGGCTATGCCTGGGGGCTGGATGGTGGTGCGGGCTGCCCAGAGCCCTGGGCAGCAGAGGTCAAATGCCCAGCCTGGCCCTCCAGCACCTGCGGCACCAAGCCGTTTCCAGACAGCCTTGTGGAGCTAAGACTGAATGCGTTTCAGCATAGATGGCCACCACAAAATTGTACATTGGCTCCTGGATGGCCTGGGCCAGGGCCAAGGCAGCGGGGGGGCCGTTCCCTCACTGTTTCCAGGATGGCTTCGTGGGCCACATGAAACCACTTCGCGGGCCGCATCTGGCCCCCGGGCCTTGTGTTTGACATGTCTGGGCTAAACAGAGGAGGAAGAAGTTAAAAACACATATTCAGAAGGAGCAAGACGGAGAGACCAGAGACAGATACGATCGACTAGAAGACTGAAACCTAGAAATAACTGAAAGATATGGAGGAGATTGGAATTTTATCAATAAATATAAATGGACTGAACTCTCCTTCAAAAAGGAGAAATTTTTTTTACCACAAAAATTAAAAATGGACATAATTTGCCTCCAAGAGAAATATATTAAGAGACATTTTAAACTTTTAGAACATGGGCAAACTTTATTTTACACTCGCCTCTCAAAAGAAAAGAGGAATAGCCCTTTATATTAAAGAAAAGATGAATCCCAAACAAATTTATGCAGATGAAGAAGAGAGAATACTAATGGTGGAAATCATGGTGGATCAAAACCAGATATTGATGGTAGCAATATACGCACCTAGTGATAAGCCTAAGATTGAAAATCAGGCTTGTCAGATGCTATATTTTTTCTATCCTGCTCTATGGAGTAGAGAGCTGATCTCTGACAGAAGGCCACCTGAAGAGACTAGAAGCATTTGAAATGTGGATTTACAGGCGGCTGTTACATATAAGCTGGGTTGACAAGATCAGAAATGAGGTAATAAGCCTGGGAAAGCCAAGGGAAATCATCCAAACAATTAAAAAATGAAAATTAGAATATTTCGGACATGTGATGCGACACCCAGAAAAATACAGCATACTCCATTTAATCCACCAGGGAAAGATGGAAGGCAAACGAGGTCCAGGCAGAAGAAGAACATCGTGGCTTCAAAATCTAAGGGACTGGTTTGGACAAAACTCAGCAGCACTTTTTCGTGTGGCTGCTGATAAAAACAGGATCGCCAACGTCTGATAACGGATATGGCACAAGAAGAAGAATAATGATAAGCAAGAATAATTCTATCAACAACTACACAAGAAAATATTGGACTTAAATTACCAAAATCTTTGTATAACGGGAGACTTCAATGCAATAGTAGATGCGACTCTGGACTACAAAAGCCATAAACAAGGGAGAAAAGGAGGAAATATACCACCTAAAGCGTTTTCAAAAATGAAAGAATTGTGTATCCAAGACATATGGAGAGAGAGAAAAACCCAGAAACCCACAATATACATTCTATTCAAATAGACATAAATCATGGTCTAGAATTGATATGATATGGACATCTTTCGACTTGAAAATGATAATACAACAGGTGGAGACAGAAACTAATGTTTGGGCAGACCACAACCCAATAAAAATAACCTGGAAAGGAACCGAGAAAAAACTACGATGGTCTCTGAATAAATCTACATTGAAGGAAAAAGAATTCTTACAACTAGCAACAAAGGAAATGGATTTAAAAAAAAAAATAAAGAAGGAAGAAGAAACATCCCTCCAAAATGTATGGGACACGGCTAAAGCATATTTTAGAGGGTTGGCCATAACATACACCTCTAAAAAGAATAAAGAAAAGAAACGATTATAGTTAAAGCTGAGAGAAGAACTTAAAAAATTGGAACTAGAGTTACAAGTAGACCCACAAAAGAAAACCCTCAAGAAACAAATGGAGATAATAAAACATAAATTAAACCTGGCTGAGATGGATATAATGGCACAACAGATTAAACGGTCTAAACAGAACTTTTTTGAAAATGCCAATAAGCCGGGGACATAGCATATAGATTGAAGAAAGAGAAGGAAAAAAGAACGATAAATAAGCTACAAGATTCAAAAGGAGAATTACAGTTCCACAATGTTGCAATGAAAAAAATCATTAAAGATTACTATGAGACACTTTATAAAGGCAGAGGAAGTTCCTAAAGAGAAAATTGGCAATTTATGTTCCAGCAGTTGATGGAAATGGACCGGGAAAAACTTTATAAATGCAATTCAAGCAATTTACCATAAACAAATGGCTAGAATAATTCTAAATGGAGATTATACAGAAAACTTTGACATCAAAAAAGGTACAAGACAGGGATGTCCAGTATCCCCACTGTTATTTATATTAACATTGGAAGTATTGACCAGAAATATTAGACAAGACATAGAAATTAAAGGACTGGAGATAAAAGAACAAAAATATAAATTACAAGCCTTTGTGGATGATTTTGTTTTTATCTTGGAGGAGCCACTTGAAACAGCTACTAAACTATTGGAGAAAATAGAAAAGTATGGAGAAGTGGCAGGTTTGAAAATAAATAGAGAAACGACTAAAGTATTAACAAAAAACTTAACAGGTAAACAGAAACTTCAACTTATAAAAAAGACAAATTTACAAATGGTTTAAAAAGTTAAGTATCTAGGAATCTACTTAACTGCAAGATGTATAACATTAAAAGAAGATAACTATGAAAGATTGTTGAAACAAATAAAATTGGACTTGGCAAAGTGGAAAAAATCTTAAACTGTCACTGCTAGGAAGAATAGCCACAGTGAAAATGAATATTTTACAAAAATACTCTTCTTATTCCAAACGATCCCTGTCAATTTGGGAAAGGTCTTTTTTGACGATCTAAATGCAACAATATTGAGATTTATTTGGCAAGGGAAGAAAGCACGAATTAAAGTGAAAATGTTACAAGAAGCTAAAAATAGTGGAGGATTTGGACTCCAGGATTGGAGACTATATTATCAAGCAGCCATCTTACCATGGCTTAAAGAATGGATAACGCTGAGAAACAAAAGACTATTGTACCTAGTTGGCATGCCTTCCTATGGTACGAGAAAAATAAAACACATAGATACTTCCAAAACCATTTTATAAGAAATGTACTTCTTTCTGAAGGGGAAAGAATAAAGCAGAAAATTTATATTAAACTACCTGAGTGGCTTGCAACAATGGAAGCTTTTGTCTACCCAAATTTAATTAATTATAACGAAGTTGTCGCCTATAAAGATATCCGGAACAAGGAAGGAAAATTGAAAGACAGACAAGATTTACAGCGACAAGGTATTGACTTAGCATGGTGGCCATATTTGCAAATTCAAACGAGATATAAAAAAGATGCAAAGACAACGGGATTTTATAAAGAACAGACAGAATTTGATCAAATATTATTAAAAACAGATGAAAATCTGATCAAGAAACTTTACAGATTCCTATTAAACTTGGAAGATGGAAGAAGAACAAGTAAAAGAAACAATGATAACATGGGCAAAAAAACTTTGGATATTCTATAGATTTGGAAGACTGGCAAAAATTATGGGATATGCCCTAAAGCGAAAAAGTTCTGGCTTAAGATACATACATGCCTGGAAAAGATGATTAAAATACAGATAGAACTTAAACCAGAACTGTTTTTGTTAGGAATATTAGCAGCTAAGTACGAGAAGGAGAATGAGTATTTAATATTGCATGTATTGACAGCGGTGAGAATAGTATTTGCCCAATACTGGAAAAATGAAAACTTACCAACTGAAGAGATCTTAATTAAGAAACTTTTAGAATGTGCAGAAATGGATAGATTAACCTTAGAGATAAAAGAGAAAGAAGATTTAGTTTATTTTAAAAATGGCATAAATTTTATCAATCGTTAGGAAAATGAACTAATGAGAAATGAATGTGATATGCCACTTTGAATATATATTAGTAAGAAGAATGATATGTATTGACCAACTGATACTGTTTATGATTATTGTTTATCATATTCACTACAGCTATTTACTATTATATTAATTAGTATTAACTGAACATATGTACCCGGACAATAGTCTGTTTGCTAAAGCTTGAAAATATAACTGGGGGGCAACCCCAGTGTTGTTCCCAATCCTGTCCCAACCCCAATCCCGACCCTAACCCCACCCCGAACCTTAATCCCTATCCTGGTCCTATCCCTTCTCCAACCTTATAAAACTCAATAAAAACCTTTATTAAAAAAAACCCCAAAAACTTTTGTGCTTTGAAAAAGATCCACCAAGAAGGGGCTGCCACATCACAGCCTCTTCAGGGCAAAACAAGGAAAATATAAAAGTTTCTACCCAACTTTTTGAAGCCAGACCAAAGTAAACATTACCTTACAAACAACGGATTTTATTTTTAGCTTTTTACATTGAGCTCAACGAAAGAGGATCTCTTGGGGGGTGAAGAAAATATGAACCGCGTTCTGTTATTTTAAACCTTTTCTTTTCCCATCTAAAACCTCCCCCCCCCTCCCCACTGCAATGAGGTCAGTCTGTGTTAATACCGCATTACAAAGCTCCCTTTTACTCCATTTTCTGCAACTGAAAGTGCGGGATCTGCATGCTCGGAGACCTCCTGCTCTGACAGACCACAGAGAGACCTTCTGGAGTAACTTTTCCAAAACCTTTTACCCGGAACCACCCGGAGCCCCACGCGGATCCTGGGCCGGGCGAGGAGGGGGCAGATCCAGCCCGGGGAGGGACCCCCCTTTGCCCCCCTGGAGGGAAGGGAGGGATCTACTCCCTGCAGGCGACGCCAGAACCGAATCTCCCCAAGAAAAACCCTGCAAGCCGAAGAGCCGGATCCGCAGCTACCTTTCTGCTTCCGGGGAAAAGCTCTCCTGGCGGGAGGGGCGCCCCAAAGGCCGGAGGGGGAGCAGCCCGATCTGCCCGGAGCGGGATCCAGAACCCTCTCCCGAGGGATCCAGCGCCGATCCTGGCGGGGCGACGGGACACGCGGGAAGGAAGCGGAGATCCAGCGAGTGGGAGGGGAGAGGCGGGGGCGGGGCTTCTGCTCTCCTCTCGGGCTCCGCCTTGCAGCCCCGCCCCTTCGCCACCTCAGCTCCTCCCATTCCCTCCCTTTCCCCCAATCTGCCTTCCCAGCTTGAAGCAGGTGCAGCGAAACCTCCTCGGTTCCTCCGATGGGCGTCGCGGTCCAGGTGTCCTCTGCCCATGGGAAGAGTGGCCCGCTCTGCACGCTGGTAATGAGGCTGCCCCTCCTGCTCCAGTTTGTGCTTTTATCAGCGGCTGCTGATAAAAACAGGATCGCCAACCTGATCGTCAACGTCCGATAACGGATAGAGGAGGAGGAGGAGGAAGAAGAGGAGGAGGAGGAAGAGGAGGAAGAAGGAGGAGGAGGAAGAAAAAAGGAGAAGGAGGAGAAGAGGAGGAAGAGGAGGAAGAAGAGGAGAAGGAAGAGGAAGAAAGGAGGAGAAGGAGAAGAGGAAGAAGAGGAAGAAGAGAAGAGGAAAGGAGGAGGAGGAGGAGAAGAAGAAGAGGAGGAGGAGAAGGAAGAGAAAAAAAGGAGAAGGAGGAGAAGAAGAGGAAGAAGAAGAGGAGGAAGAGGAAGAGGAGGGAGAAGAGAAGGAAGAGGAAGAAAGAAGAAGAGGAAGAAGAGGAAGAAGAGAAGAGGAAGAAAGGAGGAGGAGGAGGAGAAGAAGAAAAAGAAGATATATAGACTTTATTGGTCTTTCTTCCCAGCTGAATAGTAAATATTTAATTTAACGTCCAGGAGTTTTTAACTCCTGTATCTTCACATCTTACGTGATCTGTAACAGCCACTGGTGTAGAGGTTACATGATGATCCTCCATGCTGAGAATTTAAATTGGGTGGGGGTCTCTTAAGACCATGAGCATGGCGGGGGGAGGGGTGTTCTGCAGAGTCTCGGACTCTTTGGGTTGGTCATTTCCTAATCCCCAGAGCTCCCTGGAAAGAAGAGAGTTGGGGAGCAGCCCAAATCTCGTGCTTGTTCTCCCTAGAACAGGGGTAGGCAACCTTGGTTCTTTTATGATGGTGGACTTCAACTCCCAGAATTCCTGAGCCAGCATGGCTCAGCTTGGAAACCTCTCCCTTTCCCTTCAGCATGGCTGGCTCAGGAATTATGGGAATTGAAGTCCATAGGAGTCATAAAAGAGCCAAGGTTGCCTACCCCTATGATATATAAATAACACTTAGAATAGCCCTTAGACCAGGGGTAGGCAACCTTGACTCTTTTATGACTCGTGGACTTCAACTCCCAGAATTCCTGAGCCAGTTATGGCTCAGCTTGGAAACCTCTCCCTTTCCCCTCAGCATGGCTGGCTCAGGAATTCTGGGAGTTGAAGTCCACGTGTCATAAAAGAGCCAAGATGGCCTACCCCTGCCCTGGGGGCAATACAAAACAACGGGGAAACCGGCTTGAAAATACCAAGCCACTGCAGAGTAGAAATGATTTTACATTTTATTTTCAATTTCTTTGTAGTGCACCTTTATTAGTTTTAGAAAAAAATTTAAACAGGGAAGATATATCCTGTTTTCCTCAGAAGAACCCTGTGGGTTGGGTGAGGCTGAAAGACTAACAAACAAGGTTACTTAGCTGGTTTTTGTGGTGAAAGCGAGACTTGAACTCATGGTCTACTACTTTCTAGCCCAGTGCCTTAACCACTAGGCCAAACTGCTTCTCCTGATTTATATAGGTGGTGTTTATTCGGAATGACCTTTTAAGATGTGTGGACTTCAGGTCTCAGAATTCATGCTGGCTGGGGAATTCTGGGAGTTGAAATCCATATATGTTAAAGTTGTCAAACTTGAGAAACACTGATAAAGATGTACATAGGTATACACCAGTGTCCATGTAGGCACATAGGTGTGTCTAAGCCAGTGGTTCTCAACCTTTTTAATGCTGCGACCCCCAGCCGGTCGTAAGTCGAGGACTAAACTGGTCGTAAGTCGAGGACTACCCAACTGGTCGTAAGTCAAGAACTTTCCCTGCCCGGGAGTGCCGTGCATGTGTGGTGCCGCCCCCTGCGCCACCCGAGGCGTAGCTGGCAAGCGGCAGAGACGGAGCAGGCCGACCACCGGCTGGGCCACCAGTTGGCCCAGCCCAAGGGAGGTAAGGCACCCGCCGGAAAAGGGGGGAAAAAATGGCGGACAGCCTTGCTTGGCGACCCCCGTGAAATGGTTGATCGACCCCAAATGGGGTCGCGACCCATAGGCTGAGAACCACTGGTCTAAGCAGTGTGCATGTTAATGAAAGTTATCCGGCCTTCAAGGGGAAGGAGAAATGTAAGGATCCAAATACACGTTCAAGACTAGAACTTGTTCTAGGTCAGTGTGGCTGGCAGTGCCCGTGCTCACTTGCAAGGAGCAGCTGAAGAAGGGGAGACAAACCATTATAAAAATGAATAATTCACCCAGATCCTGACCGAGACGATTTGCCATCTCGCCGGAGCAGGAAGGGGGCCCATTGGTTCAAATGGACGGATACTTTCCCAAATAGCGAAACAAAGTCAATCGGTGAGTCAGATGGGTGGTTTCTAAATTTGATAATAAAGAAATAAAAATAAATATGTTCAGGTGGTCCTCGACTTACAATCATAATGGAGTCTGCCCATTATGGATCCTGGTCATAAAGTACCTTTGGGGGGGGGTGTCCGTCATAACTTCAGATTGTTGCAGGCTGATGGCTGCGTGTCCTGAACTTCCACAGCTATGTATGTGCGTCTCTCTCTCCAGCTGTGCCTGGGCTCTTGGCTGAAAGGGGGGGGGGAACGATCCAAACTCAGCCCTTCTCACTTGAGCTGGGAAGGGAAGACGGCAGAGACCCCCACAGGAGGGACCAGGAATAATGAAACCCCTTTTTTTGGCAGAAGAAGCTGAATGCTCACAAATGCACATTGGAGGGCGGTGGAAGAATTAGCAGCAGGAAACTGGAAGAACGGCCCCTTTTCCTAGTATCCGTTGACCTTCCGTGCAGCCCAGGACTGGATCTTCTTCCCAAGGAACCTTAAATCCATAAAGGTAAAGAGCTTCCATAAGACCTGCCAAGCATCAGAATACCAGACGCCTCTGGGGAACCAGGGGTCCCGGATCAAGGTGCTCACACAGGGTGGGGGTGAGAAGATGCCAGGAGCCCCCTGAAGTAGCCAATAGGAGCCGGGCAGATCTCAGCTTCTGAGCACATCAGCAACTGTCATAAAGCAGTGTTTCCCAAACTTGACAATTTTAAGGCATGAGGACTTCAACTCCCAGAATTCCACAGCCAGCAACGCTGGCTGTGGAATTCTGGGAGTTGAAGTCCTCATGCCTTAAAATTGTCAAGTTTGGGAAACACTGCCATAAAGGATATTACAGGTGAAACAAGAGGGAAAAGACCACTTTCAAACTGAAACAGCCAGGAAAACTTTATGCTGCATTCGAATGGGAATGAGATGCCATTTCATGGAGGACAGAGGAGAAGAGAATTAGCCACAGTTCAGGGCAACTGAGGGGTTAAGGTAGGTCTCGTTTGCTGAAGCTAATGAATCCCACAAAAAGACTGCATGAAATGTAGACTATGTGAAGTTTCTCTATGGAAAATAGGGTAATTGGTTCCAGACAGACGTAAACTGGGAAGAAAAATATTGAATATAATACGGTATATGAATCATAATGAAACATCTCAGTAACGAATAACAAGAATATCCTTAAAAGAATTTAAATGTATAGTCAAAAACCACAACTGTATACACAAAAGCCTTAATTGCACACACAAAAGCCTGACATGAATTGAATTTTAGGTCACATGAAACAACAACCTGGTAACCATTTAAAGTTCACACTAAATTGAACATTGCACAATATTCTTACAATATCGCGCCGACTCTATTAGAAACACCAAGCAGTCAAGAAGGATGAGTTTCTTCAATCCCACAAGAAAACTGCTTGCTCCACAGTGGAACCTTTATGAAGGATTCTTGAAAAAGGAGACTGGACTAGATACATGCATTGCTCTCTGTGGGGATCACACCAAACACGCTGGACAAGGATGGAGGATCCAAGAGGCCTCAGCTCCAGAATGGATTATTTGTAGCTCAGGGCTGAACTGCTGGGTCTTTGGTGCTCTCTGAGCTTGGTGGTTTCCATGTAGATGTTTCATTATCCAATTAGGGAACAGCATCACTGCTGACAATATCACCTAGAACTGATAATGTTACGTAGTTGGGTAATGAAACGACTGCAAGAAAACCACCAAGCTCAAAGAGCACCAAGGTCCCTACACCAGTTCTGGCCAAAGAGCCACTTGTTGTCTCAGTGCATCAAGTTACTCATCCCAGCATCAGTTGAGAGGGAACCTCATCCATTCCTGGCCTGGACTGTGGCTGTCAATCAAAGAAGGGATCTCCTAGGAAGCATGAAGCCTGGGGTTTCTGCAGCCTTCATCTATTCCATGACCTTCCTATCCAACCCTCAGGGAGGAGGCTGGGAAAGGGCTTTGACTATCAGTCAATAAAGGCAGCTTCTCTGCTGTGGACCTCTCGCCTGTGTTTCATCTCTCATGGTGGGAACCAACCACTCAGGGACACTTCAAAGTCCCAGCAATCTACAGCTGCCATTTTTGGGAACTGCTAGAAGATTTTGTTGGTGTTCCCTTTTAACTGGAGAGTAAAAATTGTATTTTAAGTCCTCAGAGTTTTTAATTCAGATTATCTTCGGGCCTTAGGGCAGTGGTGGCGAACCTATGGCACACGTGCCAGAGGCGGCACTCGGAGCCCTCTCTGTGGGCACGCACACCATGCCCCGGAGAGGGCAACTCTCCTTCTTCAACCAGCCGCCCGCTAACTTGCCGAGGTCCCACATGGCCGGATGCATCCCAGCACCCATGCGCTCACTGGCCTCTGTGTGCAGGGGCCAATGGTGTCAGGCAGCAGCCACCCCAGCCCCTGCCTCTTTTCCCTGTGACAATGGCACCCCCGCCCTGCCTTGCCTCGCCTCACCCCGCAGGACGAGCCTCTTGCCCACCGCCCCACCTGCCAGAGACCCCCTGGATCTCCCCCAACCCTGCCCGGCCCCCACAGGCATCCCTCCCCACGAGCAACATCGAGGTGACCATGCCTACCTTGGCCACACCCACCCAATCTGCCATGACCACCACAGCCACACCCACCCAGTGGGCCACGCCCACCTGGCACCCGGTGATAAATAAGTGGGTTTGGGGTTGCAGTTTGGCACTTGGTCTCTAAAAGGTTCGCCATCACTGCCTTAAGAGGGCTCTGTGATAGCCACTGGTGTAATGCTTGTGTGACCCTCCATCATGAGCATTTTAAACTACACACACCCACACACACTAGCCTCACACAGGCAGCAGCCACCCCAGCCCCTGCCTCTTTTCCCTGTGACAATGGCACCCCCGCCCTGCCTTGCCTCGCCTCACCCCGCAGGACGAGCCTCTTGCCCACCGCCCCACCTGCCAGAGACCCCCTGGATCTCCCCCAACCCTGCCCGGCCCCCACAGGCATCCCTCCCCACGAGCAACATCGAGGTGACCATGCCTACCTTGGCCACACCCACCCAATCTGCCATGACCACCACAGCCACACCCACCCAGTGGGCCACGCCCACCTGGCACCCGGTGATAAATAAGTGGGTTTGGGGTTGCAGTTTGGCACTTGGTCTCTAAAAGGTTCGCCATCACTGCCTTAAGAGGGCTCTGTGATAGCCACTGGTGTAATGCTTGTGTGACCCTCCATCATGAGCATTTTAAACTACACACACCCACACACACTAGCCTCACACTGAGTGAATTTTGGTTTGCATGAAACACAACCTGATATCAATTTACCATTCGCACTGAACTGATTACATCATTCAAAGTTGCACTTCCTGTAACCCAGTGGTTCTCAACCTTTTTAATGCCACGACCCCCCAACCGGTCATAAGTCGAGGACTACTCAACCGGTCGTAAGTCGAGGACTACTCAACTGGTGCAGCACCGTTTGCAGAATGGGACTTTTGGCGGGCTCAGCAGGGCAGAGACAGCCTGGACAATTCCTATTGGCTTTTGAAAGCCAATAGAATTAGACTCTATTCAAGAGAGTCTATTCTATTGGCTTTCAAAAGCCAATAGAATAAAAGGGAGTAGCACAGCTAAGGAAAAGGGGAAAAAAATGGTGGACTGCGTTGTTTGGCGACCCCCGTGAAATGGTCGTTCAACCCCAAAGGGGGTCCCGACCCACAAGTTGAGAACCACTGCTGTAACCTATTATGTGTTTCTTAAGATGTGGTTCAATTAATCATGAGTGTGTCAGGCACCTGAAGGTAGCCACCAATGATCTGCCCTTAAGAGCATCTCTTCCCCCCCCCACCAGAAAAAACGTTCTCCCATTGTGGGCCCAAGAAGCAGTGGAGCTGCAGGCCTCATTATTAGGGCCATCCCGCCTCCCAGGATGGGAAGGGGGAGAGTTGCTCTCCACCCCCCACTTGCAAAAACGCTCAATTTTCCATTCTCCAGTCCCACTTTTGGACAAGAAGTTTCCCTGCAGTTTGCAAGGAAAGGAAAAGAGGGGGGAGGAAACAGAGAAGGGAAAGCAGGCAAAAGAATCGAGTTCCCCCCCCCCCCCGTTTTCCCTGTAGGGTGAGTTTGGATGAAAGATTGCGTAAAGGCATCGTAAGAGTTGAGGGGGTCCTTGGGGCTCTCTGAGGTTATTTCTTCATTGCTGCCCTGATGATAGTTTGGGTCAGGGGTCTTCAAACTTGGCCCTTTTATGATTTGTGAACTTCAACTCCCAGAATTCCTCAGCCAGCCTCCATTTTGTATGTTAGATTTAAGACAGGGGTCTTCAAACTTGGCCCTTTTACGACTCGTGGACTTCAACTCCCAGAATTCCTCAGCCAGCCTCCATTTTGTATGTTAGATTTAAGACAGGGGTCTTCAAACTTGGCCCTTTTATGATTTGTGGACTTCAACTCACAGTATTCTTCAGCCAGTGTGCCTAGCTGAGGAATTCTGGGAGTTGAAGTCCACAAGTCATAAAAAGGCCAAGTTTGAAGACCCCTGGTTTGGGTAATGAAACATCTCCAAGGAAACACAGAAGCTCAAAGATCACTAAGGGCCACTCAATTCCACCCTGAGCTATTCTCCTTGATTGGTTTCAAAGCTTGTGGTATTTCCAGAGCTGGAGAGGAGGGAGGATCCTGACCCAGAGAAACAGCAGTTCCAAAGGGAACTCCATCTCCCCTCGACATAATAATAATAATAATAATGATGATGATGATGATGATGATGGTGTTGGGAGGGACCTTGGAAGTCATCTAGTCCAACCCCAGACTTACAGGCAACCCTTGTGCTAAAGTGGGATCTGCTTCTGGGGAACCAGGGATGAAAACGATCACAGAGTTGTGCTTGGAGGGGAAGATTCCAGAAGTCCCCTGAAGTAGCCAATAGGAGTCGGGCAGATCCCAGCTTCTGCGCAATTCAGCAACTATGTCATAAAGGATGTTTCTATGGGATCAAGAGGGAAAAGACCACTTTCAAACTGAAACAGCCAGGAAATTATGTTGTGTTGGGCTGGGATTGAGATGCCATTTCACAGAGACAGAGGAGAAGAGAATTAACCACAGTTCAGGTCAACCCAGGAGTTAAGGTAAGTCTCGATCAGTGCTGTGAATAAACCCCCCCCCCCAAAAAAAAATCTCATTAAATCTATACTATCTCAAGTGGTATTTCTATGGAAATTAGGGTAATTGGTTTACAAATTGAGAAAAATAGGAAAGGAGTATATTTAATATAATGTGATATATGAATAACAATGACATATCACAATAAAGAATAAGAATATCCTTAAAAGAATTTAAATTTATAATCAAAAAACTGTGTATACATTAACCTTAATTTGCCCTGCGCTAGCCTGACATTAACTGAATTTGGGATCACATGAAACGCAACGATTCATATTAACCCAAATATTGGATCATTCGAAGTCACACTTCTCACAATCTGCAATGTATGCTCTAAGTAACTTGTGGTCCAACAGTGTGATTTATCCCGAGTGTGTGATGTATCATTATCTCTGTCATCACAACCTGGTGCATCTTCATTCTGTACCTCATCCCATTTTCTACAACTATGTCTCCAAATCTATTGATCGACAAAGATGCAGTAAAGATTAACAAAAATACTCAGCCACATAACTATTTCCTCTTTCCATTTAGTATAAATGTCCCTCATCCCCCACTTAATAATTAAACATTTAACAATTAAACAGTATTGAAAACTATTAAGCCTCATTCTTAAGGCTGTTCAATGGCCTGAAACGTTTTTAAAAAGTCCCACTCCAGAAGATTATAGACTTCCATACAGTTCCATGAAACCTTGAAAGTTTTACTTTACAACCTTAAAGGAGAATTTCCTATCCCAGTTCAGAGCTGATGACCCGGGTCTCTTGGGGGTCTCTTCCAGTGGGAATACAATGGAGGGCGGATAAGGGGGCGAAAGAGACCTTGAGAGGGCTTAAGTGGCATCTGTGACAACTTATGACTGGACGAGGGGATAGATGGGGAACTCATCAAATTTGAAGACGACACCAAGTTGGCAGGAATAGCCAACACTCCAGAAGACAGGCTTAGGATGCAGGAGGATCTGGACAGACTTGAACACTGAGTGCTATCGAACAAAATTAAATTCAATGGTGAAAAAAGTAAGGGTCTACATTTAGGCAAGAAAAACCAAATGTACAGGTATAGTATAGGGGGTACCTTGCTCAATAGTAGCAACTGTGAGAGGGATCTCGGAGTCCTAGTAGACAATCACGTAAATATGAGCCAGCCGTGTGCTGCAGCTGCCAAAAAAGCCAACACAGTGCTAGGCTACATTAACAGAGGGATAGAATCAAGATCACGTGGAGTATTAATACCACTTTACAATGCCTTGGTAAGGCCACACTTGGAATACTGCATCCAGTTTTGGTCACAATGTAAAAACGATGTTGAGACTCTAGAAAGAGTACAGAGAAGAGCAACAAAGATGATTAGGGGACTGGAGGCTAAAGCATATAAGGAAAGGCTGCTGGAATTGGGTATGTCTAGTTTAATGAGGAGAAGGATGAGGGGGGATAGGATAGCAGTGTTCCAATATCTCAGGGGCTGCCACAAAGAAGAGGGAGTCAAGCTATTCTCCAAAGCTCCTGAAGGCAGGACAAGAAGCAACGGATGGAAACTAATCAAGGAGAGAAGCAACCTAGAACTAAGGAGAAACTTCCTGACAGTGAGAACAATTAACCAGTGGAACAACCTGCCTCCAGAAGTGGTGAATGCTCCAACACTGGAAGTTTTTAAGAAGAGCCTGGACAGCCATTTGTCCGAAATGGTATAGGGTTTCCTGCCTGACCAGGGAATTGGACTAGATGACCTCCAAGGTCCCTTCCAACTTTATCATTATTATTATTATTATTATTATTATTATTATTATTATTATTATTATTATTATTAAATCTCTTCACATTTGCCATCATAAGTCAAGGACTACTCGTACTCCACAAAATATTATCCATGCTCCCCAACACTCGCAATGCCTTTCTCTTGTGTAATTATTCAAGTCTTGTTATTGTGTCGTGTTACTAGTGCTGCTGGTTTGTGAGCAAAGATTCTTACCCTCCAACATTTATACACTTTGGATTGATTATGTACTTACTCTCAGCGGTCTCTGTGGATGAGGGGGGGAAACTAAGGCAGAATCTGCCAGGAGCCCCAAACTCCTTTACCTGCCCCCCTGCATAGATCACCCACAGATGTTTGGGGGGGGGTCCTCCACACAAGCTTGTCACATTTAAGCAAACATAATTTCCAGGTTTCTTCACTTCAGGCAACAGGTCCTTCCTCTCTTCTCACAACTCAGCCAGAATTTCACCTCCTATCTGGAATTCCTTCTTCTTCCTGTCGCCCCGTTTTCTCTAAATCTTCAGTTCTCCTCCTCGACCAAAAAAAGGTGTAGAAAAAATTAACAAAAACATCTGGGCGCCTCGACTTATGACTGTCGCAATTTATGACCGGAAGTGCATTCCCAATTGTGGTCATAAGTCAAGGACTACCTGTAGCTTGCAAACTCCACACACACTTGTGACTCTTTTGTGTAATCATTCTGGTCCGTTGCTAATGCTGCTTTGTCAAGAAAACATCCTCACACACCCCCAACATTTACACCCTTTCGCTTCACTGTGTGCGATGTGATGGGATTTGAGGTTCCTTGACTAGGAAAAACATTTTCTCCACGCCAAACAATTGTAGGGTTTCCCTTCTGAGACTGTGTAAAATTCACAGCAAATTGCAAGGTGTCACTTTTCAAAAAAAAAAAAAAATATTCCAACATTGTTCACAACTGAAAACATTTATCTCTACTATGGACTTTCTGATGCCTTTTAACCTGAGATTTACTATGAAAAGTTTTCTCACACTCTGCACACTTGTAAGGCGACGCCCCTGTGTGACTTTGGTGTGCCTGCGACGTGCTGAAGGTGGACCAAAACATTCCCTACACTCCAGACATTTTTGTGGTTTTTCTCAAGTGTGGATTCGCTGATGTCTCACAAGAGTATTTTTTTGAGAAAAACATTTATCGCACTCTGAGCATTTGTGGGGCTTCTCTCCCACGTGGATTCGGGCGTGACGTCTATGGTGAGAGGAATGAGCAAACGTTCTCCCACAGTCTAAACATTTGTAATTTTTTTCCCCCGTGTGAGTTTTTACGTGACTTCTAAGGTTTGATGTGCTAGAAAAAAATTGTCCACATTCAAAGCATTGATATGGCTTCTCCCCTGTGTGGGTTTTTTGATGTGCCAAAAGGTTTCCCTTTCGGGCAAAAGATTTTCCACATTCTAGGCATCCGTATAGCTTCTCCCCTGTGTGGGTTTTAAGATGTGTCCACAGGTTTTCCTTTTGAGCGAAAGATTTTCCACATTCTACGCATCTGTATGGCTTCTCTCCTGTGTGGACCCTCTGATGCCTTCGCAGCTGGTATTTTTGGCCGAAGCATTTTCCACACTCCCCACAATTATAGGGAAGCTCCCCTCTGTGCCCCTTCTGGTGTCTCCAAAGATTAGACGCATCCACAAATCGGGTCTCACATTCTGGGCATTCGTAGGGTCTCTCTCCAGTGTGAATTCTCTGATGTTGCACCAGGTGCGATTTCAAGGTAAAACATTTTCCACATTCGAGGCATTTCTCGTTTTTCTCCCCCCTGTGTGTTTTCTCATGTGTCCGAAGAGATGAACTCTGGGTGAAACATTTTCCACACTCAAAGCATCTGTAAGGTCTTATTCCTGTATGAATCTTTTCATGAAGCCGAAGACTTCCATTGCTAGAAAAGCTCTTCCCACATTCCCAACACTTGTAAGGTTTCTCCCCTGTGTGAATCCTCTCATGAACTCTGAGTTTTCCTCTTTGAAGGAAAGATTTTCCACATTCCAGACACTGATAAGGTTTCTCTCCAGTGTGGATTTTCTGGTGTGTCAGACGGTGTGACTTTTGACCAAAGCGTACGTCACATTCCTCACATTTATGGGGTTGTGGTCTGGGGGGGCTTCTGGAGTCTTTGGGGTCTTTTCCAGAGAAGGATTTCCCACCCTCCAAACCTTGACTGGATCCCCTTCCCACATGGGCCTTCTTGTGAGCAAAGGATTTTCCACACACTGAGCATTCATGCGTTTTTTTCTGTTTTTTCGGAGTGCTGCCTGGGTCTGACAGGGGATCCAAGAGTTTCCCAGGCTCCATGCTTTCTGGTGCCTTCTGCCTTGGGCTGAATTTCTACTATCTATTCATAGTTGTCTTGCAGGTAAATCCTTGGTCGCAGTTGTTCTCCTGCTGGAAAACAGAATACAGAGAATCACAAAATCTTAGATTTGGAAGGGATCTGCAAGGTCTTCCAGTCTCTCCTCCTCCCACAGAATGAGACATGGGTCCTTAGTACACCCAAGACAAAATCTACAGTGATTTCTGTCACCCCACATGGCTAGGAGGCAAATTCTTCTGCTGTTCATTGACTCTAAACTTTTCTCCTTGGTTCTTGCCCGACAACAAGGTGAAAAAGAAGCTCTGAGTGTAGAGGTAGTCCCCAACCTATGACTAAAATTGAGACTGCAACCTCGGTCGTTCACTGAAGCAGTGGTTAGATGAGTGGTCAGGTGACTATTCTCTCAACAACCGTAAACCCAAATTCCTCTTACCGGATATTAAGTGATCTTATGGTTTCTTAAGTGGAGGAAGGCCCAGCCAAGGGACATGGTAGTGTCTCGAAGGTGTGTGTGTGTGTGTGTGGGGATTCCTGGAGACCTGCAACAGGCCCTCCATGAGTTGGGGGTGCTAAAGTAGATGCAAAGCTGTAGCCACTCCTGGAAGTCTGAGTCACCCCAGTCCGCCCATGCAAAGCAACGCCGATTGACAGCAATGCCTGGGCTGGGCCTTAAATGGAGCCCTGGGGCCTTCAACAGTTTCAGCCAGTGGCCACTAATCCCAGGACTGGACTTCAGCCCACTGTCACTGCTGCCACTTAGAAATAAGGCCTTAATCCCCAGACTAGAGGCCTTTGCAGCTTTGCGCCATTCTCAAAGCTGCGTGTTCCATACATGTTTCCAAGCAACGTGTCCCAAAGCATCTCTAAGCTTCTCCAGGACCCCTTCAAGTCAAACATGGCCTGTGTCTGGACACACAAGGCCTCTCCTGCCTACATCAGACAACCCCACATTCCTTACCTGGGACTTCATTTGCTTAATGACAGGTGAAATCACAACCCACCACCTGGAGTACAGGATTGCAGTCACCGAGGGAAGCTCTCTTGTGACATTTTACTTAATGACTACTTTGCTTAACGACCAAGACTCCAGTGCCAACTGTGGTCATAAATCCAGGACAAATTACGTGAAATACCCAAAACTAAGGCATCGCATAAGCAAAAGGGAAGGAAAGAGAGTTCAGGCTAGTGTAATCAAGTTATTCGTGATTGTTATCCCCTTTTCTTGCTTCTTCTGACTTTCTGCACTTAGGAGCTCCATCCGATCATGACTTCTTGATCCTGGACACATTTTATATGTTTTATAAAATATTACAAAAGGGGAAAAAATAGATCCTGAAAATTACAGACCAATCATCCTGACACAAGTACCTGGGAAGATCCTGGAAAAGATAATCCAGAAAGCCCAGAAATAGAGAAACCTTACTAGAAGCCAACATGGGTACGTCAAAAAGAGATCATGCTTGACAAAACTTATTAAATTCTTGACAAAGTGACTAAAATAGTGGAATAGCAAAATTCAGTGGATATAATATGCGTGGGCTTCAGTAAGGTATTTGAAAAAGCAGAGCACAGCCACTTTCTTGGTAAGATAGAAATATGTGGGATAGACAGCATCACCACCAGATGTATTCCTAACTGGCTGACCAATAGCACTCAGTGTGTTAAACCTCAATGGAACTATATTATACATTCATCCAGCACCTTCGAAGCGAAGCCCAATTTTTCTACGTTGCTCAGTTTTCCAATAAAAATAAAAAATGTTTATTTTCCAAACCAAGATTTAAGCAAGATTTGTTTACTCACCTTTAAAGTTGCAGCTAAGAGGTCTCTGGGTCACCAGTTCCCCCTCTGAGTCCAGGCCAGGGATGACCGTCACTTCTGACATGTTTCATTTCTCCTTAATCCATTGGCCTTTTGTGCAGGAAGCTGCTTATCAAACAAGATTTCCAAATTCTCTAGAACGGAGTCTGGGCCAAAAACTTGTGGGTCCCAATCCAAGAACGCCCCTTTTCTTCTGTGGAGCTCACAGCCACATCCTCACTGGTCTCCGGCAAAGAGAAATGAGAAAGGCTCAGATGCCAACAGTGATACTGAACATAATTTATTTATTTTCAAATATTTATATGCCGCCCAATCCCAGAGGACTCTCTGGAAGAGAGATCAGAATATGGAATTGTTTGTTCACAATACAAAATAATGGAGATGGAATGGTGAATTCAAGATCTTGATAAGCCAAAATGGAAGAAACCAGCAAGATGAAGTCCAACAGGGACCACCAATGCAGAGTTGTGAGTAGGAAAACTCAGTGGAATATGAGAGAGATCAGGTGGGGCAGAGCATATGTAGACAGGGCTGCTCTTTCCTGTTGTTTATGGAGGCTGCAAGGCCACAAAGATTCCAGGCAGGTGTTTAAAAAAATATTTACAGTTATGCAAGGTAGCCTTTTGGCCATTAGCTTGTTCTAGTTCCTGCTCAGAAGACCAACTTCAAAACTTCCTTGGTGCTTTGTAAAACACATTGCAGCTTCTTCTGAGTTAAAGAAGGAAAATATAAAGTTTAGAAAGTCTACCCATCTTTTTAAGAGAGAAGCCAAGTAAAGATTAGCATCAAAACAAAGGATTTTATCTTTTGCCTTTTAGAGACAGCACAAAGAAAGAGGATCCCTTTTGTGGGCTAAGACCACAGGAACCCAATTAATTTAAACTTGTTTTTCTTTCCCCCAAACCAGGGGTAGGCAACCTCGGCTCTTTTATGACTCATGGACTTCAACTCCCAGAATTCCAGAGCCAGCTATGCTGGCTCAGGAATTCTGGGAGTTGAAGTCCAAGAGTCATAAAAGAGCCGAGGTTGCCTACCCCTGCCCCAAACCCTCCCCTCCCCGTTGCAATGAGGTCAGGGTGTGTTGATACCGGATTACAAACATCAATAAATGTTTCAAAGCTCCGTTTACTCCATTTGTGCAGCCGCACTTGCGGGATATGCATGCACAGAGACTTCCTGCTCTGACCGACCACAGAGAGACCTTCTGGAGTAATTTCCCCAAAAGCTCCTTCCCGGATCCACCCGGAGCCCCGCGGGGAGCCTCGGCCGGGCGAGGAGGGGGCAGATCCAGCCCGGGGAGGGAGGGATCCCTTTGCCCCCCCGGAGGGAAGGGAGGGATCCGCTTCCTGCAGGCGACGCCAAAGCCGAATCTCCCCAAGGAAAACCCGGCAAGCCGAAGAGGCGGATCCGCAGCTACCTTTCTCCTGGCGGGGGGGGGAAGCTCTCCTGGCGGGAGGGGCGCCCAAAGGCCGGAGGGGGAGCAGCCAGATCTGCCCCAGCGGGATCCAGAAGCCTCTCCCGAGGGATCCGCCGCGATCTTGCCAGGACGAAGCGAGACAGCCGGAAGGAAGCGGAGATCCACCGAGTGGGAGGGTCGAGGCGGGGGGCGGGGCTTCTGCTCTCCTCTCGGCCACCGCTTTCCGCCCCGCCCCTTAGCGATCTCAGCTCCTCCCCCCTCCCTTCCCCTCTCCGCCTCCCCAGCCGAGACTCCCCGTTTCTCCGCTGGGCATCCGCCTCCCGGGTTCCTCTGCCCATGCGAAGAGTGCCCTGCTGTGCCCGGGCGGGGCTGCCTCCTGCTCCAGCATCTGTGTGGAAACTGAAGCTCCGCGATGGCTTTTGCGGGGGAGGCAGGAGCGACAGGAACCCCCCCCCCGTCCCTTCGAGGAGGGCTCCTCTCCGGCTGGGTCTTTGCGGAGCCCGACTGAGGGCGGAGAGGGAGGGGCTGGCCCGGGTCCTCAGGAGTGGGCGGGAGAGACGGAGCAGGTGGCTCCTTGCAATGGCAAAGGGGTTACAGATCCTTTCCCCCCCCCCCCCGTGGTCGTGTGAGATGTTTTGGAAATGGGCCATTTTGGAATTGAGGGGTCCTTGGCGGTCTCTGAGCTTGGTTGCTTTCTCACAAGCTGGCAGGAATAGCCAACACTCGAGAAGACAGGCTTAAGATACAGAAGGATCTGGACAGACTTGAACACTGGGCACTAACTAACAAAATTAAATTCAATGGTGAAAAAAGCAAGGTTCTACATTTAGGCAAGAAAAACCAAATGCACCAGGTACAATATAGGGGGTATCTCACTCAATAGTAGCAACTGTGAGAGGGACCTCGGAGTCCTAGCGGACAATCACTTAAGTATGAGCCAGCAGTGTGCTGCAGCTGCCAAAAAGGCCAACACAGTGCTAGGCTGCATTAACAGAGGGATAGAATCAAGATCACGTGAAGCATTAATACCACTTTACAAGGCCTTGGTGAGGCCACACTTGGAATACTGCATCCAGTTTTGGTCACCATGATGTAAAAAAGATGTTGAGACTCTAGAAAGAGTACAGAGAAGAGCAACAAAGATGATTAGGGGACTGGAGGCTAAAACATATAAGGAAAGGCTGCTTGAATTGGGTATGTCTAGTTTAACGAAGAGAAGGACGAGGGGGGACAGGATAGCAGTGTTCCAATATTTCAGGGGCTGCCAGAAAGAAAAGGGAGTCAAGCTATTTTCCAAAGCGCCTGAAGGCAGGACAAGAAGCAACGGGTGGAAACTAATCAAGGAGAGAAGCAACCTAGAACTAAGGAGAAACTTCCTGACAGAACAATTAACCAGTGAAACAACCTGCCTCCAGAAGGGGTGAATGCGCCAACAATGGAAATTTTTAAAAAGAAACTGGACAGCCATTTGCCCAAAATGATATAGGGTTTCCTGGTGAGCAGGGGGTTGGACTAAGTTGTAATTTCCACTTCTTAACACATCCTTCTTGATTTCATCCCATCCCGTGACATAATTATTGTGACATACAATTATTCCATTAATATTTTTGTTCCTTACAAAAAGTTTTCCAAAATTAGGCCGGAATTATCAGCAAATGCCCTTTTCCTTAGGCTTCTGCCTGCTGTGCTGGATAACATGGATATTTATTCCATGTTTCTACTTATTTCCTGAATTTATTAATCCTGCCCAACTCCAAAAAGACTCTCGGTCACTTAGCACAAACCCTTTCCCTCTTTGCTGTTTTTCTCTGAGAAGCTCCTGACTTTTAACTGGGCTCCTGATTTCCCTTAACCCAGTGGTTCTCAAACTTTTTAATGCCGCGACCCCCAACCGGTTGTAAGTCGAGGACTACTCAACCGGTCGTACTCAACTGGTGCAGCAGTTTGCAGAATGGGACTTTTGGCGGGCTCAGCAGGGCAGAGACAGCCTGGACAATTCCTATTGCTTTTGAAAGCCAGTAGAATTAGGCTCTATTCAAGAGAGTCTATTCTATTGGCTTTCAAAAGCCAATAGAATAGAAGGGAGTAGCACAGCTAAGGAAAAGGGGGAAAAATGGTGGACTGCGTTGTTTGGCGACCCCCGTGAAATGGTCGTTCGACCCCAAATGGGGTCCCGACCCACAGGTTGAGAACCACTGCCTTAACCCCATCTTGCCAGACCCAGACAGAGACCCTCCCTTTCATTGTGCTTGTCTCAGCTAAGAGGCCACAGCTGGCCAGCCTTGGCCACTCCAGGAAAGCTTGGCAGTGCAGGATGGGAGGTCACAGGTCCTTGAGCTCTGGGCTGGCTGGGAGGTAAATACACATTCAAGAGGAGAATGGGATTTTAGGTGCAATGGAATCACAAGGCAAATTCCATCACGTCATATTATCTGAGGCGTCTAAACTGAGTTTCCTTCTTCTCTTCTGGACCCCAAAATCTTAATGTCCAAAATGAAAAGTAAAAAAATCAGAAATAAAATTTTGGTTACTGCTGAAGCATTTGTGAAACCTCTCCTGTGCGGACACTTTGGTGTACAAAAAGCACAAGAAACAGGAACAAAAAATTACCATGCTGGTTTCGTATGTCATGGTTCTGAAAAAAGCAGCATTTCAAAGAACTTTGAGCCTTTGTTTACCTTAAAGAATCCTTTTATTGCTACATAACTTCGGCACGTACATAATGCAGCCAAAAACTGAATCCTCCCACCCCCAATCACCCGTAACAAAGCATAACTCACTCCTTCATTTCACAGTCATCAATCACGTTCTCCAATTAGTTTGAAGTGTGAACTTTCCCTCCCGTAACTCCTCTGGTTACAGCTGACCTTGGCAATACTGTACTGAAATATTGTTTTGGCTAACTATCCCCCGAGTACATACTTTCCCACCCGCTATTCTAACATTGTCTGACTTTAACTCTAGAAGTGATATGCAGCTTAAATAAAACGTGTTTGCTTCTTCATATATGGCAAGCAAGAACATCCGATGTTAGCAGTCTTGACATCGTCATTATGAAGGTTTCCCCACACCAAAAAACTGTAGGATTTCCCTTCTGGGACTGTGTGAAGTTCCTGGTGAATTATAAGATGTGACGTTTCAAAAAATGTTTTCCACATTCCTCACAACTGAAAGGGTTTCTCTCTACTATGGACTTTCTGATGCCTTTTAACCTGAGATTTACTATGAAAAGTTTTCTCACACTCTGCACACTTGTAAGACGACTCCCCCGTGTGACTTCTGCTGTGCTTGCGAAGTGATGATGTTCGGGCAAAACATTGCCCACACTCTGGACATTTATATGGTTTTTCTCCAGTGTGGGTTCTCTGATGTATCACAAGAGTAATTTTTTGAGAAAAACATTTATCACACTCCGAGCATTTATAGGGCTTCTCTCCTGTATGGATTCGGCTGTGCTTTTTGAGGGAACCTGGCTGCGTAAATGCTCTTCCACAGTCTAAACATTTGTAATTTCTTTCCCCTGTGTGGACTGTCTCGTGAAGCTGAAGCTCTCTTTTTGTAAGAAAACCTTTCCCACATTCCCCACATTGATAGGGTTTCTCCCCTTTGTGCCCGTTCTGGTGCCTCTGAAGTAGAGGAGAACACATAAATCGCCTCCCACATTCTGCGCATTCGTAGGGTCTCTCTCCGGTATGAATTCTCTGATGTCGGATTAGGTTTGAATCCCACATAAAACATTTCCCACATTCAAAGCATTGATATGGCTTCTCCCCTGTGTGGGTTTTATGATGCCCCTTAAGGGTTGTCTTTCGAGTAAAACATTTCCCACATTCAAAGCATTGATATGGCTTCTCCCCCGTGTGGGTTTTCTGATGTGTCCAAAGGTTTCCCTTATGAGCAAAACGTTTTCCACATTCGAAGCATTGATATGGCTTCTCCCCTGTGTGGGTTTTCTGATGTGTCCAAAGATGTTCGTTTCGAGCAAAACATTTCCCACATTCTAGGCATCTGTATGGCTTCTCTCCTGTGTGGAGCCTCTGATGAACCTGAAGCTCTCCTTGTGTAAGAAAACCTTTCCCACATTCCCCACATTGATAGGATTTCTCCCCTTTGTGCCACTTCTGGTGTCTCCAAAACACAGAAGGAAACATAAATCGTCTCCCACATTCTGGGCATTCATAGGGTCTCTCTCTGGTGTGAATTCTCTGATGTTGCACCAGGCTTGATTTCGACATAAAGCATTTCCCACATTCAGGACATTTTTCGTTTTTCTCCCCTCTGTGTATTTTCGCATGATTCCAAAGAGATGAATTCCGGGTGAAAGATTTTCCACACTCAAAGCATTTGTAAGATTTTATTCCTGCATGAACCTTCTCATGGGTCAAAAGAATTGCCCTCCGAGAAAAGCTACTCCCACATTCCCAACACTTGTAAGGTTTCTCCCCTGTGTGAATTCTCTCATGGTTTCTGAGACTGCGTTTTTCATTGAAAAAAATCCCACATTCCAGACACTGATAGGGTTTCTCTCCAGTGTGGATTTTCTGATGTCTAAGAAGGGTTGACCTTTGACCAAAGCATAAGTCACATTCCTTACATTGATAAGGTTTTAGTCTGGGGGGGCTTCTGAAATTTTTCATGTCTTTTCCAGAGAAGGATTTCTCACCCTCCAAACCTTCACTGGATCTGCTTCCCACATGGAACTTCCTGTCAGTCAAAAGGAGGGACCTGTGAGCAAAGGATTTCCCACACTCTGAGCATTCATGGGTTCTTTTGTGGTTTTCCGGAGTGCTGCTTGTGTCTGACGGGGGATCCGAGAGTTTCCCAGGCTCCATCCTTTCTGGCACTGGCTGCCTTGCTCTGATTTTCTACTATCTCTTGAAAGGTGACTTGCAGGTGAATCTTTGGTCAGAGTTGTTTTCCTGCTGGTGGAAAAATAAAGAAGATGAGAATAATGTTTCCTTTTGAGAATGGTAGAGAATCACAAAATCTTAGCCTTGGAAGGGACCATGAAGGTCTTCCAGTCCACCCTCTGACCAGGGCAAGGGTCCGCAGTACACCCCAGACAAAACCTCCATGGATTCTGTCACCCCAGATTCCCTCGGAGGCAAACTCTCCTGCTGTTCACTGACTCTATCTTTTCTTCCTTGGTTATCGTCCTATGACGAGGTGAAAAAGAATCTCTGAAATTTTGGTAGTCCTCAACTTATGATCAAAATCTGGACTGGAATCTCGGTGTGTCCAGGGAAGTAGGGGTTATGTGATGGTCACACGGCCACTTCACTCACCAAGCGCAATCCCACACTGCTTACAGTCATTAAATCATCTTGAGGGTTCTTAAGTGGAGGAAGGGCCAGGCAAGGGATGTGGGGGTGTCTGGGGGTGGGCTGGTCCTAGACACCAGGCACAGGCCCTCCACCATGAGTGGGGGGGGGGGGCTGAAGTGGGATGGAAGCCTGAGCCGCTCCATCCAGGCGTTGAAAAGCATCCCTGATTGACAGCAATGCCAGGGCTGGCCCTTAAGTGGAGGCCTGGGGCCTTCAGCCATTTCAGCCAGTGGCCACTGACCCCAGGCCTGGACTTTAGCCCAGTGTCACCACAGCCACTGAGAAATGAGGCGTTAATCCCAACACTGGAGGCCTTTGCAGCCTTGCGCCATTCTCCAAGCCGCCTGTTCCATACATGTTTCCAAGCCATGTGCCCCAAATTCAGCGCCAGTCTGCCCGAGGCTATTTATCAGACAGCTTCGAGTGGCAGGAAAAAAATGGAGATGGTGTTACTTTTTACCTTTTGTGGCTTGTGCAATTTACATTGGGTTTTCTATGTCTAAAAAGACTTTAGTTATAAACGGGGGGGAGGCTTTTTCAAGGGGGGGGTGCGTTTTCGTCCTACAACCATACACACAAATTTTTCGCCTTTTAAATTGAACTCAAAGAAAGGGGGATGTTTGTGGGTTAAGAAAACAATGAACTCCATTCCGTTAATTTAACCCTTTTTCTTTCCCCCAAAGACTCTTTTCGCTATCGCAAAGAGGTCAGTCCGTTTTAACAATCACATTACAAATCTCACTAAATCTTTTAAAGCTCCGTTTGCTACAGTTTTTGGAGCTGCACGTGCGGGATATGCATACGCAGGAGACCTCGTGCTGTGACGGACCACAGAGAGACCTTCTGAAAGCAACGTCCCCAAAAGCTCCTTCCCGGATCCATCTGGCGCCCCACGGGGAGCCTTGGCCGGGCGAGGGATCCCCCTTTGCCCCCCTGGAGGGAAGGGAGGGATCCGCTCCCTGCAGGCGACGCCAGAGCCGAATCTCCCCAAGGAAAACCCGGCAAGCTGAAGAGGCGGATCCGCAGCTACCTTTCTCCTGGCGGGGGGGGGAAGCTCTCCTGGCGGGAGGGGCGCCCCGAAGTCCGGAGGGGGAGCAGCCAGACTTGCCCCGAGCGGGATCCAGAAGCCTCTCCCGAGAGATCCAGCGCGATCGTCCTATGGAGAAGTGAGACACGCGGAGAGAAGAAATCCAGCAAGTGGGAGGAGAGAAGCGGGGCGGAGCTTCTGCTCTCCTCCTGGGATCTGCCCATGCCTTACCACCCCGCCCCTTAGCAGCCTAAGATCCTCCCCTCTCCTTTCCCCTTTCCGCCTTCCCAGCCGGGATTTCCCGTTTCTTCGCTGGGAATCAGGCTGCAAGGTTCCTCTGCCCATGCGAAGAGTGCCCTGCTGTGACCGGGCGGGGCTGCCTCCTGCTCCAGAATCTGGGTGGAAACTGAAGCTCCATGATGGCTTTTGGGGGGAGGCAGGAGGGACAGGAACCCCCCCCCCGTCCCTTCGAGGAGGGCTCCTCTCCGGCTGGGAGTTTGCGGAGTCCGACTGAGGGCGGAGAGGGAGGGGCTGGCCCGGGTCCTCAGGAGTGGCCGGGAGGGAGGGAGGGAGGACCGGACAGGTGGCTCCTTGCAAGGGCAAAGGGCTTACGGAGCCTCCTCCCTCCCTCCCCGTGGGTGTTATTACATTTTTCAGCAAAGCCACAGGTAGTCCTCAACTTATGACCACAATTGAGCCCAACATTTATGTTGCTAAGTGAGACATTGGTTATGGGAGTTGTGTGTTTTCCCCCATTTTACAAGCTTTCTTGCCACAGTGGTCAAGCGAATCGCTGCAGTGGATAAGTTACTAACCCGGTCGTTAAGCGAATCCTGCTTCCACATGGACTTTGTTTGTCTTTGGGAGGTCGCAAAAGGGACACAGCAACGGTCGTAAGTATGAACCAGTTGCCAAGCATCCGAAATTCAGAAAGCACTTTCTTCGTTCCCCTTGTGACTTTGACCGGTCACTAAATGAGATTTAAGTCGAGGATTGCCTGTGTTTTGGGGGTTATACTTGTCCCGTAAGCCAAATGGAGTGAAATGCTTTGGGCAGAAGCTTTTACGAGGCAAGAACCAGAAGGAATTCTGGAAGGAAGGTGAAAGTCTGGCTGAGTTGGGAGGAGAAGAGAGGAAGGACACGTTGACAGATGACAAGAAACTTGGAAATTATGTTTGCTTAAATGTGACAGCGCCCACGGGGGGGGGGAGAGAATCTGTAATCCCTTTGCCATTGCAAGGAGCCACCTGCTCAGTCTCTCTGCCCACTCCAGAGCACCCTTCTGGGGTGGGGAGGGGGAGGGAAGACCCTGCAGGGAAGCTGAAGGGATCGGGTAGAGCCAGGATGACATTTACCCACCAACAGGGAAGCTTCACTGAAAGAATAATAATCCCCCATATCACATTTCTGCATGCCACAGAAACATCATGAAAGTGGGTAATACATTCATTTTTAATCACAGAAATTCTCCCCAACAGTTGTAATTTCCACTTCTTAACACATCCTTCTTGATTTCATCCCATGCCTTAAAATAATTACTTTAACATATAATTTGTATTTTTTTAAATAATGCTCAAGTTTCTTACCGTTGCCTTTCTTCAAAATACTGTGTGTGTGTGTGTGTGTGCGCGCGTGCAAGAGAGATTGAGCCAGCAGGGTGTTGCAGAGTAAGCAAACTTACAAAAAGGGGATCTCTCTCTCTCTTTCTCTCTCTCTCTGTCTCTCATACACATACATTTGTTTCTTCTGCCTAATTTATTAAATCAACATCTAATTTGAAATTAAAAGTTTCTGAGAAATCCAGGGTGGTTTACAAGAAAACTCTCAAAGACCGCTATTGTAAAGCATCCTGCCTAAAACAATATTAAAAGTATGTATTTTAAGAAAGAAAAATAGTAGTAGTAATTCACTTAGTGCTGTTTGACCATAAAATGTGTTGTTGTTTTACATATGCCTGGCTGAACAGTGTGTTTGGAGTTGCCTCTAAACGGGTGTCAGAATCCAATTATATTTCATCTTTAATCATCAAATATAGAAAACCCCAATTCTGCCTTCTCTGGATTCTGCCATAAGAGGGAGAGGAGGGGGAGAACAAAGGGGCTTTATGGCCCTCGCTTCCTTCAGTATACTTCTAAGGAATTGAATGTGTTTATTGCAACCTCAAAGAGGTTGAATGTAACTAGCACCAAAGAACCTTACCATAACAAAGGGGGCTATTTACCTTTCATGTAGTTTATCTGAAGTCTCCATCCAGATGGAAGAAAGGAACAAAGGGGTGGAATTGTGATGCCTGAAACTATCACTGGAAGGGGGGGGGGGTGATTGGGTGGGACTGCTGGGGAACCCCTTAAAACCTTGAATGGGAGAGCTTGGACCCCAAGTCCTGTCTAGCACGCCTGCAACCACTTCTTCTTAATAAAGGATTCCTGTTGGAAGAATTATTCCAAGAGTTCTGTCTTCTTAAGATGCAAAGTGGGGTGGTGCTGCGTGCGACCATTGGGATGGTGCATATGAATAGCGGGAGACTTTGGACTCGGCCCTGTCGACCAGTCTGCTTTTCTGGCGAGGCTTGGGCTGTGGGGATCCCTGTGAGCTCTCTAGAAACTTCTTGCGTTCCTTGTTTAGTACCTTGAGGTTGTGCATCTTGCTATCAATTCTTGAGTCTCTTAATTGTTCCTGAATATCCTTTAGTTGCCGTTCAGAGTCCGTCCATTGCACATAGGCATCTTCCTTATCTCCTTCTACTGCGTGTGCGCATTCTGGGGAGAGTTTGTACAATCTCTCCCAGCCTCTTTCATGGCGCTTGTAGATTGACTCCCATCTTTCCATCAGATGTGAGTGCATGGCTGCAGTGGGCTGGTTGGTGTATCTCAACTAGGCTGATAGGTTGAACCCCTTCTGCTAGACCAGTAGCTCAGCTATGGCTAGGATAGGTTCAGTGTCCTTCTCAGCTATTTTGAAGAGAATTTGAAGAACTTCTCTCTTTGACCACTAGGGGTCGCTACTTGTAGATCAGGTTCTGAGGTGCTGTCTGTGGGTGGAGATGCCACTGGGTGCGTTCTCCTGTGTTTGTGGGTACTTCAGTGCAGTTCACCCCTTCACCACTAGGGGTCACTTGCTGCGGGTCAGCTACCAGGGTGCTCTGGCTTCGAGGTTCACCCTTTGTCCACTAGAGGGGCTTCTCTGGGTGCGGTTAAAGCAGTGGTTCTCAACCTGTGGGTCGGGACCCCATTTGGGGTCGAATGACCATTTCACGGGGGTCACCAAACCATGCTGTCCGCCATTTTTTTCTCTTTTCCCTAGCTGTCCTACTCCCTCTTATTGGTGGCCACACCCACTTAGGGGTCACCACAACATGGGGAACTGTATTATGGGGTCACGGCATTAGAAAGGTTGAGAATCACTGGGTTAAAGGCTTGCGTGTAGAGCTTCCTTTAACCACTAGGGGGCGTCTGGAGAAAGGCTAGCCAAATTCTTCCTATTGCCACGTTACTGCTAGTGAGCCACTGAGAGAATGTAGAGGTACAAACTCCCACCTGGCGAGTTGCAGGCTGGAACTCCGGGTCATCAGCTGTGATAACAGGCGAAGGCAATTGGCTCTTGCTTCCTGTCTCTCAAGCTGGAACAGCTTAGCCTTCAGCTTGAGTGAGTGAGTGAGTACTTTTGGAAAGTTCACTCTGTGCCCTCTAGGGGGTGTTAAAAAGGCTAGCCAAATTCTTCCTATTACCACGTTACTGCTAGTGAGCCACTGAGAGAATGTAGAGGTACAAACTCCCACCTGGCCAGTTGCAGGCTGGAACTCCGGGTCATCAGCTGTGATAATAAGCAAAGAGACTTGGCTTTGATTTCTTCTGCCTAAATTCTCTCAAGCTGGAACAGCTTAGTGCTCAGCTTGGGTGAGTGAGTGAATGGTTCTGGTAAGATCACTCTGTGCCCTCTGGGGGATGTTGGTAGCTTGGGATAACTTTAAGTAGCTTGCACTTTAACTAACAGATTTGCTCTGTTGTGTGCTGAATTAATTGTGGCTGTTGTGACTCAGCTAGGAAAAAAAATTGCATGACCACCATGGGGTGCTTCTGCGATGATTCCTCCTTATAACACTGGCTGAAATTCCGAGCATACCTAGGGCTGTCACTATGGCAACAGATGAGTTCATTGAAAGGCAATAAACCTTGCTTTTGTCTGAACTTTAGAGGCAGTCATTAAACAGTTCTTTGTTTCAGGCTGTGTGATTCACTGGCAAAGAGGGGAGGGGGGAAAGCCCAAGCTCCTTTTGGTGTTAAAATTCAAACTTTTCATGCAAGGAACAAAAGTGTAGATTTTTTGTTTTTCTTTCTCCCCGCTATAAACATTAATTTGAGAACAGGTCTAAGGTAATTTTGAATCAGGTCCAAGGCACTTTTTACTTTGAAGGTTAGCTAGCAAGCGAATTAGCATAACAAAACCTCTGAATCACTCCTTGAAAGCTGTTTTTTACACAGACACGCTGGCTTTGCTTTGCAGGCATTTAAAGGCATCAAGAGAATCTCTTTCTTCAAACTGTTGCAGCTTTGAGAGGAGAATTAATCTTTGCCAATTTACTATTTGCTTTCAAAAGATGGCACAAATGAGGGTTGCACTGTCCATATTTTCCTTGGGAGAAAGTTTTATAATGGGGGTGCTGTCTCTGAGAAAGCTCTGCTCGTGGCCACTGCGCTATAAACCAAACCAGGGGGACCATCTGGTCTAAATGGATGGTAAACATAGATGATTAGGGGGCTGGAGGCTAAAACATATATGACAAATGTTTGTGGGAATTGGGTATGTCTAGCTTAGTGAAAAGGACTAGGGGTAGTGCCATGATACCAGTGTTCCAATATTTGATGGGCTGCCGCAGAGAAGAAGGGGTCAACCTATTTTCTAAAGCATCAGAAGGCAAATAATGGATGGAAACTAATCAAGAAGAAAACCAGCCTAGAACTAAGGACTTGTGAAAACAACTAACCCATGAAAAGTCTTCCCTTCAGAAGTTGTGGATGCTCCATCACTGGAGGCTTTTAGTAGAGACTGGATATTCCATTGTCTGGAGTGGTCTATGTCCCCTGCTTGAGCAGGAGCTTGGACTAAAGACCTCAAAGGTCTCTTCCAACTCTTATTCTTTGGGAGAAGGGCTGCCAACCTCTCCCCCTCCCCCTGTCCCTTCCTGGGCACAGAGAGAAGGAGGGAAGGAAGGAAGGAAGGAAGGAAGGAAGGAAGGAAGGAAGGAAGGAAGGAAGGAAGGAGGGGAGGAAGGAGGGAAACAGGAAAAAAGTAAGGGTAGAAAGGAAGGAGATGGGAATGAAAAGGAGGGAGGCAGGGAACAAGGGAAGGGAGGAAAGAAGGAAAGAGGGAAGGAAGGAAGGAAAGGAAGAAAGAGAAGGAAAGAGAAAGAAAGAAAGAAAGAAAGAAAGAAAAAGAAAGAAAGAAAAAGAAAGAAAGAAAGGGAGGGAGGGAGGGTCTGAGGGAAGTCCTGCTTTAGCACTTGGCCACCAGCAGCCCTGTTGTTCTTTTGCCATCCCCTGGTGGTCTCCCATCCTATTGCTGAGGATGCTTTGGTTACAAAGCCAGGTTTCCTCGCATGGAGAGGGAGTGGGCCTCCCTCTGACCCACACACTTTGTCCTCCTGCACTCACCATGAGCAACCTGGCCAAGGAGAATGAGCATAGCAGAAGCAGCATTGAGGAGGAGGAGGTAAGTGCAACCGGGCGCTCCCTCGGGGGAAGTGCGGCTAGGCTAGGCAGGGCTGTGGGATCCTGATGCCATGGGAGCTCAAGGGCCGGGCTGGGCACTTGATCTTTGCTGTCCAGGGCTGTGGGCAGTCCATGCCACTGTCCAGGGGCCCCGTGCACAGCCTGAGGCTCAGTGAGGCTCCTCCAGTGGACCATGCCCTGGCGCTCCGCCCCCGTCACACCCACCCTTCTCCACCCTCGGATGCGCCTCATTCCTGCCCAGGCCCCCACAGGTGCCCCTGACATGAGTGACATGGAGCTGGCCATGCCCACCCAGTAGACCACGCCCATGCCAGCCACAACCACCCGGGAAACCAGGATGCTGATGCCGCCCTCAATGAAATTGAGTTGGACACCCCTTCTCTCTAGCCGGTCTAGAGCCTCTGGAGAACCATTTCTGCACATTAACAGGCTACAGTCCTTGTTTCTGCTTTCACAACAATTAAAGCTATTCAAGACCTCTGATTGAAACATTTCAGCTTTTTTCTTTAGGCTAAAGTCAGCGCCAGTCTGCCCGAGGCTATTTATCAGGCAGCTTCCAGTGGAAGGGAAAAAAAGGGAGATGGTGTTACTTTTTATACCTTTTGTAGAGGTGGGGGCCAGGTAGAGGTCGTGTGCAGAAAGCTGCCCCTCCAAAGCCTGTGTGCCTCTTCTCTCTGCATTATCTCATCCCTACCCATCACCATGGCAATGTGGGAAAGATCTTGCCTGCCTGATATCAGCTAGCTTTCACCAACAAGATGTTATTGCCAACTGCTCCCTGTTTTGGGCCTCTGGCTTCTTTATTTTTAAGGATTGGTAGGAGTTTAACCAATGAAATGCTATTGCCATGTAAAACTTTGGTGCTTGTAATAATGTATATAAAAGGCAATAAACACTGCATAGGGGCAGCCATATTTGCACCCTGCAATTTGCACCCTGCACTGATTACTACAACCTTTTGTGGCTTGTGCAATTTAGTGTGGCTTTTCTATGTCTTCAAAGACTGTTGTGATAAACGGGGGGGGGGGCTTTTTTCGGAGGGGGGGTTGCGTTTTCGTCCTGCAACCCTACACACAAAGGATTTTCTTTTTCGCCTTTTACACTGAACTCAAAGGAAGGGGGATGTTTGTGGGTTAAGAAAACAACGAACTCCATTCAGTTAATTTAACTCTTTTTCTTTGCCCCAAAGTCTCCTTCGCTATCGCAATGAGGTCAGTCCGTTTTAAAAAATCACATTACAAATCTCTCTAAATCTTTTAAAGCTCCGTTTGCTACATTTTTGCAGCTGCACGTGACGGACCACAAAGAGACCTTCTGGAGCAAGTTCCCCAAAAGCTCCTTCCCGGATCCACCCGGAGCCCCGCGGGGAACCCTGGTCGGGCGAGGAGGGGGCAGATCCAGCCCGGGGAGGGAGGGATCCCCCTTTGCCCCCCTGGAGGGAAGGGAGGGATCCACTCCCTGCAGGCGACGCCAGAGCCGAATCTCCCCAAGGAAAACCCGGCAAGCCGAAGAGGCGGATCCGCAGCTACCTTTCTCCTGGCGGGGGGTGGAAGCTCTCCTGGCGGGAGGGGCGCCCCAAAGACCGGAGGGGGAGCAGCCAGACCTGCCCCGAGCGGGATCCAGAAGCCTTTCCCGAGGGATCCAGCGCCGATACTGCCAGGGCGAAGTGAGACACGCGGAGAGAAGCGGTGATCCAACGAGTGGGAGGGGAAAATCGGGGGCGGAGCTTCTGCTCTTCTCCTGGGCTCCGCCCTCGCCTTACAGCCTCATCTCCTCCTCCCCTCCCTTCCCCTCTCCGCCTTCCCAGCCTTCCCCCCTCCCTTCCCCGTTTCTCCGCTGGGCATCCGCCTCCCGGGTTCCTCTGCCCATGCGAAGAGTGCCCTGCTGTGCCCGGGCGGGGCTGCCTCCTGCTCCAGCATCTGGGTGGAAACTGAAGCTCCGCGATGGCTTTTGGGGGGGAGGCAGGAGGGACAGGAACCCCCCCCCCCCGTCCCTTCGTGGAGGGCTCCTCTCCGGCTGGGTCTTTGCGGAGCCCGACTGAGGGCGGAGAGGGAGGGGCTGGCCCGGGCTCCCTTCCCCGGGGGAGTCTCCCTGGGTGGGGGGGGGATATGCAGAAGCCCCCAAACGCCTTTATCCCCCCCTCTCCATCCCCCCCTGCCTTTCCCAGCCTATGGATCCCTTCAGGGATGTTATTGGGGGGGGGGTCTCTGCCGGCATCGCCTCCTCCACACCCGGGGCCAGATCTTCGCCCAAGTGCATTTTCGCCGCCTCTTCCCTCGCTTCCTCCAACCCATCATCCTCTCCTCTGGACGGGGGGGGGGCACAAGAGACGTAGCCAGTTCTGGCAATCTGCCCACATCGGATTCTGAGGGCTGATAATGCGGGATCTCTTTTGGATCTTTCCCGACATGGGGGATTATTATTCTTCCAGTGAAATAAACCTGAAGTTGAAAAAGGCCTCTGGAGAAGCCCCGTCAAAGGACGCTTCCCTGCTGGTGGGTGAACCTCATCCTGGCTCCATCCGGTCCCTTCAGCTCCCCTCCAGGGTCTTCCCTCCCCTTCCCCATCTCTCCCCAAGGCTTCTCCGGAGTGGGCAGGAGGGACGGGGAGAGCGAGCCACGCTTGCAATGGGAAAGGGATTACAAATTCTCCTCCCCCCCCCATCCCCGTGGGCGCTGTCACATTTAAGCAAACATAATTTCCAAGTTTCCTGTCTTCTCTTTTTTTAACAAGATTTTATTGAGTTTATAGATATAAGGAAAAAATAGGAACAATACAGGTATGGTAAAGGGAGGGGAAGGGGGGAAGGGAATAAGGGGTGTAGGATAAAATAAGGATAGGTACAATCATGTATTTTAACAAACAAGCTACTGTCCAGATCATAATAAATATCATATTGAACCATTTTTAAAATAAGCTTAACTATAGCATATTAAAAACAATTGATAAACAAATACGTTCATCTATTAAATAAACACTGTTAATAAAATCTCAAGAAATCCTAACAGTCAATAGTAACAGGTAAAAATCAGTAAATCGCAAAAAATAACAATATCATCAACGTATTAATTAGAGCTCGCTTAAGAATCAATCATCTGTTCTAAGGCACTGGTGGCGAACCTATGGAACACGTACCAGAGGCAGCACTCAGAGCCCTCTCTGTGGGCACACATGCTGTGCCCCGTAGATGGCCAGGGACTGGCCCCTGCCACCGTGGCCCCACCCATCCAGTCTTCCAGGACCAGTGCCCACGCCCACCCGGCACCCGTTGGTAAATAAGTGGGTTGCAGTTTCGTCACTGAGTCTCTAAAAGGTTCCCCATCACTGTTCTAAGGTATCCCCGTGGGCGCTGTCACATTTAAGCAAACATAATTTCCAGGTTTCTTGTCATCTGTCATCCTGTCCTTCCTCTCTTCTCCTCCCAACTCAGCCAGACTTTCACCTTCCTTCCAGAATTCCCACTGGTTCCTCTCTACTAAAAGCCTCTGCCCAGAGCATTTCACCCCATTTAGCTTACGGGACAAGTATAACCCCCAAACCACAAGCAATCCTAGACTTAAATCTCATTTAGTGACCGTTCAAAGTCACAAGGGCAACAAAGAAAGTGACTTCTGAATTTCAGATGCTTGGCAACTGGTTCATACTTACGATCATTGCGGTGTCCCTTTTGCGACCTCCCGACAAGCAAAGTCCATGGGGAAGCCGGATTCACTTAACGACCAGGTTACTAACTTGTCAACTGCCGCAATTCACTTAACCCCTGTGGCATGAAAGTTCGTAAAATGGGGGTAAATGCACAACTCCCATAACCAATTACTCACCTAGCAACACACATTTTGGGTTCAGTTGTGGTCATAAGTCGAGGACTACCTGTAGTTTTGTTGAAAAATGTGATAGCACGCACGGGGACGGAGGAGGAGGATCTGTAACCCCTTTGCCACTGCAAGGAGCCACCTGCCCGGTCTTCCTCCCTCCCTCCGGCGCACTCCTGAGGACCCGGGCCAGCCCCTCCCTCTCCGTCCTCAGTCGGGCTCCACAAACTCCCAGCCGGAGAGGAGCCCTCCTCGAAGGGACGGGGGGGGGTTCCTGTCGCTCCTGCCTCCCCCCCAAAAGCCATCGCGGAACTTCAGTTTCCACCCAGATGCTGGAGCAGGAGGCAGCCCCGCCCGGGCACAGCAGGGCACTCTTCGCATGGGCAGAGGAACCCGGGAGGCGGATGCCCAGGGGAGAAACGGAGAAGGGAGAGGGGGAGGTGGGAAGGTGGAGAGGGGAAGGGAGGGGGGAGGAGCTGAGATCGCTAAGGGGCGAGGCGGAAAGCGGTGACCGAGAAGAGAGCAGAAGCCCCGCCCCCCGCCTCGACCCTCCCACTCGGTGGATTTCCGCTTCCTTCCAGCTTTCTCGCTTCGCCCTGGCAGGATCGGTGCTGGATCCCTCGGGAGAGGCTTCTGGATCCCGTTCTGGGCAGGTCTGGCTGCTCCCCCTCCGGCCTTTGGGGCGCCCCTCCCGCCAGGAGAGCTTCCCCCCCCTCCCCGCCAGGAGAAAGGTAGCTGCGGATCCGCCCCTTCGGCTTGCCGGGTTTTCCTTGGGGAGATTCGGCTCTGGCGTCGCCTGCAGGGAGCGGATCCCTCCCTTCCCTCCAGGGGGCCAAAGGGGATCCCTCCCTCCCCGGGCTGGATCTGCCCCCCCCTTGCCCGGCCAGGGGTCCCTGCGGGGCTCCGGGTGGATCCGGGAAGGAGCTTTTGGGGCAGTTGCTCCAGAAGGTCTCTTTGTGGTCCGTCACGTGCAGCTGTAAAAATGTAGCAAACGGAGCTTTAAAAGATTTAGTGAGATTTGTAATGTAATTTTTTAACACGGACTGACCTCATTGCGATAGCGAAGGAGACTTTGGGGCAAAGAAAAAGGGTTAAATTAACTGAATGGAGTTCGTTGTTTTCTTAACCCACAAACATCCCCCTTCCTTTGAGTTCAGTGTAAAAGGCGAAAAAGAAAATCCTTTGTGTGTAGGGGTGTAGGACGAAAACGCAACTCCCTCTCCAGAAAAAGCCCCCCCCCCGTTTATGACAAAAGTCTTTGAAGAGATAGAAAAGCCAAAGTAAATTGCACAAGCCGCGAAAGGGAAAAAGTAACACCATCTCCATTTTTTTCCCTTCCACTCGAAGCTGCCTGATAAATAGCCTCGGGCAGACTGGCGCTGACTTTAGCCTAAAGAAAAAGCTGCAATGTTGCAATCAGAGGTCTTGAATAGCTTTAATTGTTGTGAAAGCAGAAACAAGGACTGCAGCCTGTTAATGTGCAGAAATGGCTCTCCAGAGGCTCTAGACCTCAGCATCAGCATTGGGGTTGCCATTGGGGGGCCGGGTCAGTGTGGCTGGCATGGCCTATTGGGTGGGCGTGGCCAGCTCCATGTCACTCGTGTCAGGGGCACCTGTGGGGGCCTGGGCAGGAATGAGGGGCATCTGAGGGTAGGGAAGGGTGAGTGGGACAGGGGGTGAGGGCCAATGCATGGTCCACTGGAGGAGCCTCACTGAGCCTCAGGCTTTGCACGGGGCCCCTGGACAGTGGCATGGACTGCCCAGAGCCCTGGGCAGCAGAGGTCAAGTGCTCAGCCCGACCCTTGAGCTCCCACAGCCCTGCCTCCTGCCTCAATGCTGCTGCTTCTGCTATGCTCACTCTCCTTGGCCAGGTTGCTTATGCTGGGTGCTGGAGGACAAAGTGCATGGGTCAGAGGGAGGCCCACTCCCTCTCCATGCGAGGAAACCTGGCTTTGTAACCAAAGCATCCTCAGCAATAGGATGGGAGACCACCAGGGGATGGCAAAAGAACAACAGGGCTGCTGGTGGCCAAGTGCTAAAGCAGGACTTCCCTCAGACTCTCCCTCCCTTTCTTTCTTTCTTTCTTTCTTTCTTTCTTTCTTTCTTTCTTTCTCTTTCCTTCTTTCCTTCCTTCCCTCTCTTTCCTTCTTTCCTTTCTCCTCTTCTTCCCTGCCTCCCTCCTTTTCACTCCCATCTCCTTCCTCCCTTCCCTTACTTTTTTCCTGTTTCCCTCCTCCCTCCCTCCCTCCCTCCCTCCCTCCCTCCCTCCCTCCCTCCCTTCCTTCCTTCCTTCCTTCCTTCCTTCCTTCCTTCCTTCCTTCCTTCCTTCCCTCCTTCTCTCTGTGCCCAGGAAGGGACGAGGAGAGGGGGAGAGGTTGGCAGCCCTTCTCTCAAAGAATAAGAGTTGGAAGAGACCTTTGAGGTCTTTAGTCCAAGCTCCTGCTCAAGCAGGGCACATAGACCACTCCAGACAATGGAAGATCCAATCGCTACTAAAAGCCTCCAGTGATGGAGCATCCACAACTTCTGAAGGGAAGCCTTTTCACGGGTTAGTTGTTTTCACAAGTCCTTAGTTCTAGGCTGGTTTTCTTCTTGATTAATTTCCATTTATTGTTTGCCTTCCGATGCTTTGGAAAATAGGTTGACCCCTTCTTCTCTGCGGCAGCCCATCAAATATTGGAACACTGGTATCATGGCACTACCCCTAGTCCTTTTCACTAAGCTAGACATACCCAATTCCCACAGACATTTGTCATATATTTTAGCCTCCAGCCCCCTAATCATCTGTGTTTACCATCCATTTAGACCAGATGGTCCCCCTGGTTTGGTTTATAGCACAGTGGCCACAAGCAGAGCCTTCTCAGAGACAGCAGCCCCATTATAAAACTTTCTCCCAAGGAAAATATGCACAGTGCATGGAGGCAACTCCAAACACACTGTTCAGCCAGGCATATGTAAAACAACAACACATTTTATGGTCAAACAGCACTAAGTGAATTACTACTACTATTTTTCTTTCATAAAATACATACTTTCAATATTGTTTTAGGGAGTGCTAGTGATGCTTTACAATAGTGGTCTTTGAGAGTTTTCTTGTAAACCACCCTGGATTTCTCAGAAACTTTTAATTTCAAATTAGATGTTGATTTAATAAATTAGGCAGAAGAAACAAATGTATGTGTATGTGAGACAGAGAGAGAGAGATCCCCTTTTTGTAAGTTTGCTTACTCTGCAACTCTCTGTTGGCTCAATCTCTCTCTCTCTCACACACACACAAACACCACACAGACACACAGGTTAATAAAAAAAAAGGAGGGGGAAGAAAGTTGGAAGCTCTCCTTTTTTGTAACACCTCAGCATCCTCCTCCCCTCTCAGCTCTTTCTCACTGTCTCTCTCTCTCTCTTACACACACACACACATACACACACACACACACAGCTTTCCTGTTTACTCCTTGTCCTCTTCCTCAGCTGCATCTGAATGAGTGGGAGGAAGTTAAAAAAAAGAGAGAAGGGGTGTAAGAATGGGGGAAGCTCTCCTTTTTTGTAACACCTTGGCTTCCTCTGCCTCCTCCTCTTCCACTCCTGACCAGGCCTGACCAAGGCACCCAGCTGGGTTGATGTGGGCCAGGGCTGGGGCAGCGGGGGCCGGTCGCTTGCCATTTCTGGGACAGCCCCGGGGGGGCCAAATCTGGGCCCTCCCTGGGCTGCATCCAGCCCACAGACCTTATGTTTGACATGTCTGGCCTAGAGATAAAGGGATAAAGTGAATTATATCTGTTTCAGCGGTTTAAGCCAAGGAAGCCGATTTCACATGTCGTTAAGCAGAGGAATGTGGGGTTGTCTGCAGTGGGCAGGAGACGCCATGTGAGTCTCAGCACAGGCTACTTTTCACTTCAGGGACACATTGACTTTGGGGCGCATGGCTTGGAAACATGTATGGAACACGGGGCTTGGAGAATGGCGCAAGGCTGCAAAGGCCTCTGGTATGGGGATTAACGCCTCATTTCTCAGTTGCCGCGGTGATACCGGGCTAAAGTCCAGGCCTGGGGTCAGTAGCCACTGGCTGAAAGGGCTGAAGGTCCCAGGCCTCCAATTAAGGGCCAGCCCCAGGATTGCTCTCAATCAGGGATGCTTTTCATGGCCTGGATGGGGCAACTCAGGCATCCATGGGTGGCTGCCCCTGTGCATCTCACTTCAACCTTCCCCAACTCATAGGGGAGGGCCTGTGCCTGGTCTGTAGGACCCGCCCACCCCTAGACACCCCACATCTCTTTCCTGGCCCTTCCTCCACTTAAGAACCCTCAAGATGATTTAATGACTGTAAGCAGGAGTGTGGGATTGTGCTTGGTGAGTGAAGTGGCCGTGTGACCCTCACATAACCCCTACTTCCCTGGACACACCGAGATTCCAGTCCAGATTTTGGTCATAGGTTGAGGACTACCAAAATTTCAGAGATTCTTTTTCTCCTCGTCATAGGACGAGAACCAAGGAGGAAAAGATAGAGTCAGTGAACAGCAGGAGAGTTTGCTTCCGAGGGAATCTGGGGTGACGGAATCCATGGAGGTTTTGTCTGGGGTGTACTGCGGACCCCTGCCCTGGTCAGAGGGTGGACTGGAAGACCTTCATGGTCCCTTCCAAGGCTAAGATTTTGTGATTCTCTACCATTCTCAACAGGAAACATTATTCTCCTCTTCTTTCTTTTTCCACCAGCAGGAAAACAACTCTGATCAAAGATTCACCTAGAAGTCACCTTTCAAGAGATAACAGAAAATCAGCCCAAGGCAGCCAGTGCCAGAAAGGATGGAGCCTGGGAAACTCTCGGGTCCCCTGTGAGACACAAGCAGCACTCCGGAAAACCACAAGAGAACCCATGAATGCTCAGAGTGTGGGAAATCCTTTGCTCGCCGGTCCCTCCTTTTGACTGACAAGAAGTTCCATGTGGGAAGCGGATCCAGTGAAGGTTTGGAGGGTGAGAATCCTTCTCTGGAAAAGACATGAAAAATTTCAGAAGTCCCCCCAGACTAAAGCCCTATAAATGTGAGGAATGTGACTTATGCTTTGGTCAAAGGTCACACCTTCTTAGACATCAGAAAACCCACACTGGAGAGAAACCCTATCAGTGTCTGGAATGTGGGAATTTCTTCAGTGAAAGAGGCAGTCTCAGAAACCACGAGACAATTCACACAGGGGAGAAACCTTACAAGTGTTGGGAATGTGGGAGGAGCTTTTCTTGGAAGGCAAGTCTTTGGGCCCATGAGAAGGTCCATGCAGGAATAAAATCTTACAAATGCTTTGAGTGTGGAAAAGGTTTCACCCGGAGTTCAACTCTTTGGAGTCATGCGAAAACACACAGAGGGGAGAAAAACGAAAAGTGCCTCGAATGTGGGAAATGTTTTATCTCGAAATCAAGCCTGGTTCAACATCAGAGAAATCACACCGGAGAGAGACCCTATGAATGCCCAGAATGTGGGAGACGATTTATGTTTCCTTCTTTACTTCAGAGGCACCAGAAGGGGCACAAACTGGAGAAACCCTATCAATGTGGAGAATGTGGGAAAGGTTTTCCTACACAAAGAGAGCTTAAGCTTCACGAGAGAATCCACACAGGGGAAAAACCATACAAATGTGGGGAGTGTGGAAAATGCTTTTCCCTAGAACAAAGCCTTGGAAGGCATCAGAGGCTCCACACAGGGGAGAAGCCATATCAATGCTTCGAATGTGGAAAATGTTTTGCTCAACAGGGAAACCTTTGGAGACATCATAAAACCCACACAGGGGAGAAATTATACATATGCCTAGAATGTGGAAAATGTTTTGCTGACCAGGGAAACCTGTGGACACATCATAAAATCCACACAGGGGAGAAGCCATATCAATGCTTCGAATGTGGAAAATGTTTTGCTCAACAGGGAAACCTTTGGACACATCATAAAATCCACACAGGGGAGAAATTATACAGATGCCTAGAATGTGGAAAATGTTTTGCTCAAAAGGGAAACCTTTGGAGACATCATAAAACCCACACAGGGTAGAAACCATATCAATGCATTGAACGTGGATAATTTTATTCTACCACATCATATCTCAGAAGTCATGTAAAAACTCACACAGGGGAAAGAAATTACAAATGTTTAGACTGTGGAAGAACATTTGCTCATTCATATTCCCTTAGAAACCACAACCAAATCCATACGGGAGAGAAGCCCCATAGATGCTCGGAGTGAGATAAATGTTTTTCTCAAAAAAAAAAATACTCTTGTGATACATCAGAGAACCCACACTGGAGAAAAACTGTATAAATGTCCAGAGTGTGGGAAATATTTTTGCCCGAACATCATCACTTCGCAAGCACACCAGACGTCAAACAGGGGAGTCGCCTTACAAGTGTGCAGAGTGTGAGAAAACTTTTCATAGTAAATCTCAGGTTAAAAGGCATCAGAAAGTCCATAGTAGAGAGAAACCCCTTCAGTTGTGAGGAATGTGGAAAACATTTTTTGAAACGTCACATCTTATAATTCACCAGGAATTTCACACAGTCCCAGAAGGGAAATCCTACAGTTTTTTGGTGTGGGGAAACCTTCACAATGACGATGTCAAGACTGCTAACATCGGATGTTCTTGCTTGCCACATATGAAGAAGCAAACACGTTTTATTTAACCAGCATATCACTTCTAGAGTTAAAGTCAGACAATGTTAGAATAACGGGTGGGAAAGTATGTACTCGGGGGATAGTTAGCCAAAACAATATTTCAGTACAATATTTCCAAGGTCAGCTGTAACCAGAGGAATTACGGGAGGGAAAGTTCACACTTCAAACTAATTGGAGAACGTGATTGATGACTGTGAAATGAAGGAGTGAGTTATGCTTTGTTACGGGTGATTGGGGGTGGGAGGATTCAGGTTTTCGCTGCATTATGTACGTGCCGAATTTATGTAGCAATAAAAGGATTCTTTAAAGTAAACAAAGCCTCAAAGTTCTTTGAAAAGCTGCTTCTTTCGGAACTATGACACACGAAACCAGCAGGTAATTTTTTGTCCCAGTTTCTTGTGCTCTCCAATGCGTCCGCACAGGAGAGGTTCCACAAATGCTTCAGCAGTAACCAAAATTTTATTTCTAATTTTTTTACTTTTCATTTTGGATATTAAGATTTTGGGGCCCGAAAGAGAAGAAGGAAACTCAGTTTAGATGCCTCAAATGATAAGAGGTGATGGAAATTGCCTTGTGATTCCGTTGCACCTAAAATGACAGGGAGATCCCATTTTCCTCTTGAATGTGTATTTACCTTCCAGCCAGCCCAGAGCCCAAGGACCTCCTGGTGGTCTCCCATCCAGCACTGCCAGGCTTTCCTAGAGTGGCCAAGGCTGGCCAGGTGTGGCCTCTTAGCTGAGACAAGCACAGTGAAAGGGAGAGTCTCTCTCTGGGTCTGGCAAGATGGGGTTAAGGCAAGTCAAGAGCCCAGTTCAAAGTCAGGAGCTTCTGAGAGAAAAACTGCAAAGAGGGAAAGGGTTTGTGCTAAGTGACCGAGAGTCTTTTTGGAGTTGGGCAGGATTAACAAATTCAGGAAATAAATACAAACATGGAATAAATATCCATGTTATCCAGCATAGCAGGCAGAAGCCTAAGGAAAAGGGCATTTGTTTATAATTGAGGCCTAATTTTGGAAAACTTTTTGTAAGGAACAAAAATAATGGAAAAATTGTATGTCAAAATAATTGTGTGAAGGGATGGGATGAAATCAAGAAGGATGTGTTAAGAAGTGGAAATTATAACTGTGGCTGCGGTGAATTGATGTGAGTAAAAATGAATGTATTACCTATTTTCATGATGTTTCTGTGGCATGCAGAAATACGATATGGGGGATTCTTATTCTTTCAGTGAAGCTTCCCTGCTGGTGGGTAAATCTCATTCTGGCTCTATCCGATCCCTTCAACTTCCCTGCAGGGTCTTCCCTCCCCCTCCCCACCCCAGAAGCGTTCTCCAGAGTGGGCAGGAGGGACGGAGAGACTGAGCAGGTGGCTCCTTGCAATGGCAAAGGGATTAGAAGATTCTCTCCCCCCCCCCCCAGGCACTGTCACATTTAAGCAAACATAATTTCCAAGTTTCTTGTCATCTGTCAACCTGTCCTTCCTCTCTTCTCCTCTCAACTCAGCCAGACTTTCACCTTCCTTCCAGAATTCCTGCCTCCCAAAAGCCTCTGCCCAGAGCATTTCACCCCATTTGGCTTATGGGACAAGTATAACCCAAAAACACAGGCAATCCTCCACTTAAATCTCATTTAGTGACCGTTCAAAGTCACAAGGGCAACGAAGAAAGTGAATTTCGGATGCTTGGCAATTGAATTCTGAATTTTGGATTCTTGCCAACTGGTTCATATTTATGACCGTTGCTGTATCCCTTTTGCGACCTCCCAAAGACCAGAAAAGTCCATGGGGAAGCCGGATTCACTTAACGACCGGGTGACTAACTTATCCACTGCAGGGATTCGCTTAACCACTGTGGCAAAAATGTTCGTAACATGGGGAAAAACTCACCACTCCCATAACCAATTTCTCAACATAAATTTTGGGCTCAATTGTGGTCATACGTTGAGGACCACCTGTAGTTTTGTTGAAAAATGTGATAGCCCCTGAAGGAAATAAAAGTTACTTTTATAAAATGTCAAAATAAAGCCCCAGTGTAACAATGTATGAAACTGTATGTTTAGCGCAAATGTATTAATGTTGTGCTAATGTCACAATGCAAAGCCAATGTACGAGAAGGAATGTTTACTGCTTCCTCTTTATGTAGAGTGACCACAAATGGTAACCACAAATGGTAAACGGCAAAGATAATGAATTATGACCCGGATGGACGGAAACCGGAAGGAAATTGTCAGGATGAACTATTAAGTGTAAAAACAACTTCGAAGAATAGCTATAGAGTGGAAAGAGCTTCTTAGATGTGACCTGCATTGTAAAACGTATAACATGCAAAGCTTGGAAACTGTCTGTTGCACTCCGGGAACCCAATCCATTGGGAAGAATCCAGGAGGCCACTTTTGCAAATGCCTTTCTTTTCTTCTCTTTATTCTTTTTATGTTATTCTCCAATAAAACTTTGTTTTGTTAACCAGACTTGTCTTCGTATTGTGAGTATCAAAATTTGGGGGTTTTACATCTCACACGACCACGGGGGGGGGGGGGAAAGGATCTGTAACCCCTTTGCCATTGCAAGGAGCCACCGGCTCCGTCTCTCCCGCCCTCCCGCCCGCGCACTCCTGAGGACCCGGGCCAGCCCCTCCCTCTCCGTCCTCAGTCGGGCTCCGCAAAGACCCAGCCGGAGAGGAGCCCTCCTCGAAGGGACGGGGGGGGGGTTTCCTGTCCCTCCTGCCTCCCCCCCCAAAAGCCATCGCGGAGCTTCAGTTTCCACCCAGATGCTGGAGCAGGAGGCAGCCCCGCCCGGGCACAGCAGGGCACTCTTCGCATGGGCAGAGGAACCCCGGAGGCTGATGCCCAGCGGAGTAACCGGGAGGCCCGGCTGGGAAGGCGGAGAGGGGAAGGGAGGGGGGAGGAGCTGAGATCGCTAAGGGGCGGGGCGGAAAGCGGTGGGCGAGAGGAGAGCAGAAGCCCCGCCCCCCGCCTCGACCCTCCCACTCGGTGGATTTCCGCTTCCTTCCGGCTGTCTCGCTTCGCCCTGGCAGGATCGCGCCGGATCCCTCGGCAGAGCCTTCTGAGTCTTACTTCTGGGAGGTCTGGCTGCTCCCCCTCCGGCCTTTGGGGCGCCCCTCCCGCCAGGAGAGCTTCCCCCCCCCGCCAGGAGAAAGGTAGCTGCGGATCCGCCTCTTCGGCTTGCCGGGTTTTCCTTGGGGAGATTCGGCTCTGGCGTCGCCTGCAGGGAGCGGATCCCTCCCTTCCCTCCGGGGGGCAAAGGGGGATCCCTTCCTCCCCGGGCTGGATCTGCCCCCTCCTCGCCCGGCCAGGGTTCCCCGCGGGGCTCTGGGTGGATCCGGGGAAAAAGGTTTTGGAGAAGTTACTCCAGAAGGTCTCTCTGTGGTCCGTCACAGCACGAGGTCTTCTGAGTATGCATATCGCGCACGTGCAGCTCCAGAAATGTAGCAAACGGAGCTTTAAAAGATTTAGAGAGATTTGTAATGTGATCTTTTAAAAGGGACTGACCTCATTGCGATAGACCAGTGTTTCCCAAACGTGACAATTTTAAGGCATGTGGACTTCAACTCCCAGAATTCCACAGCCAGCATTGCTGGCTGTGGAATTCTGGGAGTTGAAGTCCTCATGCCTTAAAATTGTCAAGTTTGGGAAACACTGCGATAGAGAAGGGAGTCTTTGGGGGAAAGAAAAAGGGTTAAAATAACTGAATGGAGTTCGTTGTTTTCTTAACCCACAAAAATCCCCCTTCCTTTGAGTTCAGTGTAAAAGGCGAAAAAGAAAATCCTTTGTGTGTAGGGTTGTAGGACGAAAACACAACCCCCCTTCCGGAAAAAGCCCCCCCCCCGTTTATGACAAAAGTCTTTGAAGAGATAGAAAAGCCAAAGTAAATTGCACAAGCCACAAAAGGGAAAAAGTAACACCATCTCCGTTTTTTTTTTTCCTTCCACTCGAAGCTGCCTGATAAATAACCTCGGGCAGACTGGCGCCGGCTTTAGCCTAAAGAAAAAGCTGCAATGTTGCAATCAGAGGTCTTGAATAGCTTTAATTGTTGTGAAAGCAGAAACAAGGACTGCAGCCTGTTAATGTGCAGAAATGGCTCTCCGGAGGCTCTAGAGCAGAGGTTCTCAACCTTCCTAATGCCGCAACCCTTTCATACAGTTCCTCATGTTGTGGTGACCCCCATCCAGCTGGCCGGGGAGGGGGCAGGAAGGCCGCTCTGTGGGTTCCGCCCAGCCTGGTTGGAGAAGCGCCATTTCTCTCCCTCTTTCTCTCTTTCTCTTTCCTCTCTCTCTTTCCTCTTTCTCTCTCTCTTTTCTCCCTCTTTCTCTCTTTCCTCTCTTTCTCTTTCCTCTCTCTCTTTCCTTTCTCTCTTTTCTCCCTCATTCTCTCTTGCCTCTCTTTTTCTGTTTCTCTCTTTCCTTTCTTTTTCTCTTTCTTTTCTCCTTCCTCTCTCTCTCTTCTCTCTATCTCTCTTTCCTCTCTCTTTCCCTTTTTCCTCTTTTTCTCTTTCCTCTCACCTTCTCTTTCCTCTCTCTCTCTCTCTTTCCTCTCTCTCTTCTCTCTATTCCTCTTTCCTCTCTCTTTCCCCTTTTTCTCTTTCCTCTCCCTGTTTCTCTCTTTCCTCTCTTTCCCCTCTCTCTCTCTCTCTCTCTCTCTCTCTCTCTGTTTCCTCCCTTTCTCTTTCTTTCCTCTCTCTTTTCCTCTGTTTCTCTCTCTTTCCTCTCTCTCTTACGGCAGCATCGTCGGGGGTCCCCACCGCTCGCAGCCGCCCTCCGCTGCATCCTCAGCTGAACGGGTGGGGAGAGGGAGCAGGATGGGAGGAAGCAGTGGCGGTGGCCACTGCTGCATCGTCGGGGTTCCCCGGCCCGGCCACCCCCCCCCCGTCGGTACTCTGCACTGCCCAGCCTCGTCCTCTGTCCATCGATGGAGCCGCAGTGGGGGCTGGTGCCGCACGGCCTGCCAGCTCCTTCACCAGCCCAGCTGCTTCCCCCCCCAGGCACCCTTCTTCCTCCCGGTGCCCGCCCGAGCCGCTTGGGGGCAGCAGGAGGAAGAAGGAAAGGAGAAGGGCGAGAAAATCGCTGCCGCCGTCCCAGCCGGGACTCTGCGCTGCCCAGCCTCGCCCTCCGCCCATCATTTATTTATTTATTTATTTATTAGTAAAATTTATATGCCACCCAATCCCTAGGGACTCAGGGCGGCATACAAAATTAAAAACAACAAATATAACAATTAAAAATAAATACATTCACACAGCATGTCCCAATTGAATCCTGGCCCCCCCCGGGGACATCAACCCCAGGCCTACCGGAACAGGAGAGTTTTAATAGCTTTCTTGAAGACCGGCAAGGTGGGAGTAGTTCATATCTCGGGGGGAAGTTGATTCCACCACGTCGGAGCCACCACAGAAAAGGCCCTTCCCCAAGGGCCAGCCAGCCGACATTGTCTGGTCGACGGGACCTGAAGGAGGCCCAATCTGTGGGACCTCACCGGTCTCTGGGAACTGTGCGGCAGTATGCGGTCCTGTAAGTAACCTGGTCCTAAGCCATGAAGGGCTTTAAAGGTGATAACCAACACCTTGAATTGCGTCCGGAGACCCATAGGAAGCCAGTGCAGCTCGCGGAGGATAGGTGACATGTGGGTGTACCTTGGTGCACCCACAGTCGCTCTCGCGGCTGCATTCTGAACCAACTGCAGCCTCCGAACGCTCTTCAAGGGTAGCCCCATGTAGAGCGCATTACAGTAGTCCAATCTTGAGGTGATAAGGTCATGAGTAACCGTGAGTAGAGCCTCCTGGTCCAAATAAGGCCGCAACTGGTGCACCAGGCGAACCTGGGCAAAGGTCCCCCTGGCCACAGCCGATAGATGTTGTTCCAAATTTAGCTGTGAGTCCAGGAGGACACTCAAGTTGCATGCTTGCACTGAGGGAGGTAAATTCCCCCCCCCCCAGGACTAATGATGGACCATCAGAATGACCCTTGGGGGCAAGACCCACTCGGTCTTGTCAGGGTTGAGTCTAAGCCTGTTCAACCCCATCCAGACCCTCACATCTTCCAGGCACCGGCACATCACGTTGACTGCTTCAGTGAAAGGACACGGAGTGGAGATATATAATTGGATATCATCCGCATACTGATGATACCTCACCCCATGTCGCTGAATGATCTCACCCAGCGGTTTCATGTAGATGTTAAAAAGGAGGGGGGACAGGACCGAGCCCTGAGGCACTTCATAATCGAGGCGCCTAGGGGTCAATCTCTGTCCGCCCGCCAACACCGACTGCGACCTGTCAGAGAGGTAGGAGGAGAACCACCGCAATATGGTGCCGCCCACCCCCACCGAGACGACGCCGAAGGATACCATGGTTGATGGTATCGAAAGCCGCTGAGAGGTCAAGAAGCACCAAGATAGAGGAATGACCCCTATCCCAGGCTCGCCAGAGGTCATCAGTCAGTGCGACCAAAGCAGTCTCAGTGCTGTAACCGGGCCTGAAGCCAGATTGAAAAGGGTCCAGATAATTCGTTTCATCCAAGGATTGCAAGGGTTGGGACGCCACCACCTTCTCTACAACCTTCCCCACAAAGGGGAAGTTGGAGACAGGACGAAAATTCTTCAAAACAGCTGGGTCCAGGGAAGGCATCTTGAGGAGGGGCCTCACCACTGCTTCCTTCAAAGGTTGCAGGAAAGACCCCTCCATCAAAGAGGCGTTGATTATCACCTGGAGCCAGGCTCGTGTCACCTCCCTACTGGTAGAAACCAGCCAGGAGGGGTACGGGTCCAATAAACAGGTGGCGGCATTCATCGCCCTCAAGGCCTTGTCCTTCAGGGGGTCACAGGCTCAAACTCGCTCCAGATAACATGACTAAGACCAGCCCCCGGCATCTCGGCTGGCACTGCCCAGTCGGAGTCCAGGTCTCTCTGAATCTGAGTGATTTTGTTTGAAAGAAACTGAATGAACTCCTCAGCCCTCCCCTGCAAGGGTTCCTCCACCTCCTCCACTTTAAGAAGGGAGCGGGTCACCCTAAACAGGGTGGCCGGGCAAGATTCTGCGGACGCAATAAGTGCGGAAAAGTGAACACGCTTTGCCGCCCTTATCGCCACTAAGTAAGTCCTAAGATAGGCTCTTAATAGTGATCGGTCAGATTCAGAGTTACTGGCCCTCCAACGGCGCTCTAGACATCTCTTGTGGCGTTTCATCTCCCGGAGCTCCTCAGTAAACCAAGGCGCCCTCCGGGGACCACTACCACAGAGGGGTCGCAAAGGCGCAGTTCAATCCAGGGCCGCAACCAGGGACCCGGACGAGTTGTGGACAAGGGAGTCAGGTATTTCCCCAAGCTCTTCCTGGGTCCATTAGGCACCTGGGGCGGAACCACCTAGTCGGCTCCACCTCCCTGCGGCGGGGGAGTGATGCTCTGAAGTTCAGCCTCAATAGAAAATGATCTGTCCATGACAAGGGAGAGATCTGATGGAGCCGTGGTGGGGGCTGGTGCCACGCGGCCTGCTGGCCCCGCTGCCAGCCCAGCTGCTCCCTCCCAGGCACCCCTCTTTTTCCCCGGCACCCGCCCGAGCCGCCTTGGGAGCAGCAGGAGGAGGAAGGGGAGGAGGAAGAGGATGGCAAGGAAGCCGCCACCAGTGCTGGGCCCCAGGAGGCGGCTCTCCTCTCCTACCTTTGCTGAATCTCCTTCCTTCCCGGCAGCCTGGACTCCGGCGCGCCTTCCTGGCCAGCGGGTCCAATGGTCGGGCTGGCTGGGGATCGCAGGAGCTGGTCTCCCTTGGGCCGCGGCTTGCGGGAGGGCTGGCCCGCTCAGCGGAGCTTCCAGCGGGGATCCTGGGGCTTCTCCGGGCGGCTCCAAGGCCACGAGGCCCTGGCCGCGCTTCTTCCAGGGGGTGGTCCATCCGGGCGCAGGGCCAATCAGGAGCCCTGCAGGAGGTAAGTCCGCCTGAGAGAGAGAGAGAAGGGAAGCGAAAGTGCCTCTCTGTCTCCCTCTCTGCAAATGGCGGAGGAGGCCGTGCGAAGACGGATGCGGAGCGGTGTCTCGCTTCCTAAGACCATCGGAAATATGTGTTTTCCGATGGTCTTAGGCGACCCCTGTGAAAGGGTCGTTCGACACCCAAAAGGGTTGCGACGCACAGGTTGGGAACCGCTGCTCTAGAGCAGAGATGTTAAACTCAATTTCATTGAGGGCCGCATCAGCATTGGGGTTGCCCTCGGGGGGGGGTGGGGCAAAGGTCTGGCCAGGGGGGGTGTGGCCTACTGGGTGGACGTGGATGGAGTGGGTGTGGCCTACTGGGTGGGTGTGGCTAGCTCTACATCCTTCTCGTCCAGGATGCCTGTGGGGGCCTGGGCAGGAGTGGGATAGGGTCTCTGGCAGAAGGGGGTGGGACCAGGGCAAGTGCCAAGGCATGGTCCACTGGAGGAGCCTTGCTGTTCCTCTCAGGCCATGTGTGGGGGGGCTGGATGGTGTGCGCTGCCGGGAGCCCTGGGCAGCAGAGGTCAAACGCCCGGCCTGGCCCTCGAGCACCCGCGCCACCAAGCCCAGGGGGCACCCAGTTGCCCTTGCCTCCTCCTCAAGGCTGCTGCTGCTGTGCTTGCTCTCCTTAGCCAGGTTGCTCATGATGGGTACGAGGGCAAAGTCAGAGGGAGGCCCATTCCCTCTCCATGGGAGGAGACCCGGCTTTGTATCCCTAGCTTCTTTAGCCATAGAATGGGAGACCCCCAGGATAGGCCAGGAGGAGAGGGCAAGGGGATGGTGAAAGGCCAGCAGGGCAGGAGTAAGGCAGGACTTCCCTCAACCCCCCCCCTCCTTTCCTTCTTTCCTTCCTAAGTACAGAGTGGTGGGAAAATATTTGAGATGAGGGAGAAAAACAGGCAAGAAATGCAGCTGGGCAAGTGTCACCCTTTGTGAGGAAATAGGAAATGCACCATCGCCTGGAAGTGGCCAGCACCTGGCTCTCACCTACTTCACATATCTGGCTTGGTGGGCTCTGGGGGAGGGGAAGCCATGAGCAGCATGAGAGTGAGCGCAATGCCAACTAGCCCCCAGCCAGCCCGGTTTTGGCAGGTAGTGGGGCGCTTTCCTCACAGCGCCAAGAGGTTGAGCCGGGCAGGGCTAAGCTTGCCAGCTTTGCACTTTGCTACCTGCTGAAACTGGGCTGGCTGGGGGTTGGGCTTCTTTTTGGATTTGGGCCGCCCGGTTCAGCTCTCGGCGCTATGAGGAGAGCGCCCAGCTGCCTGCTGAAATGGCCTTGTGGAGCTAAGACTGAATGCGTTTCACCATAGTTGGCCACCACAAAATTGTACATTGGCTTCCGGCCGGGCTGGGCCAAGGCAACAGGGGCCATTCCCTCACAGTTTCTAGGATGGCTTCACGGGCCACAGGAGACCACTTCACGGGCCGCATCTGGCTCCCGGGCCTTGTGTTTGACAGGTCTGCTCTGGAGTCTAGATGGGCTAGAGATAAAGGGATAAAGTGAATTACATCTGTTTCAGCGGCTTAAGCCAAGGGAGCCGATTTCACATGTCGTTAAGCAGACGAGTGTGGTGTTGTCTGAATTGGGCAGGAGAAGCCATCTGAGTCCCAGCACAGGCTACTTTTCACTTCAGGGACACATTAACTTTGGGGCACATGGCTTGGAGAAAGGCGCAAGGCTGCAAAGGCCTCCGGTGTAGGGGATTAATGCTTCATTTCTCAGTGGCCGCGGTGACACTGGGCTAAAGTCCAGGCCTGGAGTTAGTGGCCACTGGCTAAAATGGCTGAAGATCCCAGGCCTCCACTTAAGGGCCAGCCCCAGAATTGCTCTCAATCGGGGATGCTTTTCATGGCCTGGATGGGGCAAATCAGGGTTCCATGGGTGGCTGCAGCTGTGCATCCCACTTCAGCCCCCCCACCCCCCACACGCATGGCGGAGGGCCTGTGCCTGGTCTCTAGGACCAGCCCACCCCCAGACACCCCCACATCCCTTGCCTTCCTCCACTTATGAACCCTCAAGGTGATTTAATGACTGTAAGCAGGAGTGTGGGATTGTGCTTGGTGAGTGAAGTGGCCGTGTGACCCTCACATAACCCCTACTTCCCTGGACACACCGAGATTCCAGTCCAGATTTTGGTCATAAGTTGAGGACTACCTAAAGTTTCAGGGCTTCTTTTTCTCCTCGTCATAGGGCGAGAACCAAGGAGGAAAAGATAGAGTCAGTGAACAGCAGGAGAGTTTGCCTCCGAGGGAATCTGGGGTGACGGAATCCATGGAGGTTTTGTCTGGGATGTACTGCGGACCTCTGCCCTGGTCAGAGGGTGAATTGGAGGACCTTCATGGTCCCTTCCAAGACTAAGATTTTGTGATTCTCTACCATTCTCAACAGGAAACATTATTCTCCTCTTCTTTCTTTTTCCACCAGCAGGAAAACAACTCTGACCAAAGATTCACCTGCAAGTCAACTATCAACAGATAACAGAAAATCAGCCCAAGGCAGCCAGTGCCAGAAAGGATGGAGCCTGGGAAACTCTTGGATCCCCTGTGAGACAGAAGCAGCACTCCGGAAAACCACAAGAGAACCCATGAATGCTTAGAGTGTGGGAAATCCTTTGCTCGCCGGTCCCTCCTTTTGACCCACAGGATGTTCCATGTGGGAAGTGGATCCATTCAAGGATTGGAGGGCGAGAAATCCTTCTCTGGAAAACACATTAAAAATCTGAAACACCCCCCCAGACTAAAACCTTATCAATGTGAGGAATGTGACTTATGCTTTGGTCAAAGGTCAACCCTTCTTAGACATCAGAAAATCCACACTGGAGAGAAACCCTATCAGTGTCTGGAATGTGGGAATTTTTTCAGTGAAAAAGGCAGTCTCAGAAGGCACGAGAGAATTCACACAGGGGAGAAACCTTACAAGTGTTTGGAATGTGGGAGGAGCTTTTCTCGGAAGTCAGATCTTTGGGCCCATGAGAAGGCTCATGCAGGAATAAAATCGTACAAATGTTTGGAGTGTGGAAAATGTTTCACCCGGAGTTCAACTCTTCGGACTCATGCGAAAATCCACACTGGAGAGAAACCCGTACACATGGGGGAGAAAAACGAAAAATGCCTCGAATGTGGGAAATGTTTTACCTGGAAATCAAACCTAGTGCAACATCAGAGAATTCACACCGGAGAGAGACCCTATGAATGCCCAGAATGTGAGAGACGATTTATGTTTCCTTGTCTACTTCAGAGGCACCAGAAGGGGCACAAAGGGGAGAAACCCTATGAATGTGGGAAATGTGGGAAAGGTTTTGTTACACAAAGAGATTTTCAGCGTCACGAGAGAATCCACACAGGGGAAAAACCATACAAATGTGGGGAGTGTGGGAAATGCTTTGCCCAAAAAGAAGGCCTTGGAAGGCATCAGAGGCTCCACACAGGAGAGAAGCCATATCAATGCTTTGAATGTGGAAAATGTTTTGCTGAACTGAGAACTCTTTGGATACATCATAAAACCCACACATGGGAGAAACCATATCAATGCATCGAATGTGGACAATTTTATTCTACCACATCAAACCTTAGAAGTCATGTAAAAACTCACACAGGGGAAAGAAATTACAAATGTTTAGACTGTGGGAGAGCATTTGCTCATTCACATTCTCTCAGAAGCCACAGCCGAATCCATACAGGAGAGAAGCTCCACAAATGCTCGGAGTGCAATAAATGTTTTTCTCGAAAAAATACTCTTGTGATACATCAGAGAATCCACACTGGAGAAAAACCATATAAATGTCCATAGTGTGGGCAATGTTTTACCCAAACATCATCACTTCGCAAGCACACCAGACGTCACAGAGGGGAGTCGCCTTACAAGTGTGCAGAGTGTGAGAAAACCTTTCATAGTAAATCTCACCTAAAAAGGCATCAGAAAGTCCACAGTAGAGAGAAACCTCTTCAGTTGTGAGGAATGTGGAAAACATTTTTTGAAATGTCACATCTTATAATTCACCAGGAACTTCACACAGTCCCAGAAGGGAAATCCTACAGTTTTTTGGTGTGGGGAAAGCTTTATAATGACGATGTCAAGACTGCTAACATCGGATGTTCTTGCTTGCCATATATGAAAAAGCAAACACGTTTTATTTAACCTGCATATCACTTCTAGAGTTAAAGTCAGACAATGTTAGAATAACAGGTGGGAAAGTATGTACTCGGGGGTATAGTTAGCCAAAACAATATTTCAGTACAGTATTTCCAAGGTCAGCTGTAACCAGAGGAGTTACGGGAGGGAAAGTTCACACTTCAAACTAATTGGAGAACGTGATTGATGAGTGTGAAATGAAGGAGTAAGTTATGCTTTATTATGGGTGATTGGGGGTCGGAGGATTCAGTTTTTGGCTGCATTATGTACGTGCCAATGCTATGTAGCAATAAAAGGATTCTTTAAGGCAATGATTCTCAATCTTTTTAATGCCACAACCCCCAACCCGTCCTACGTTGAGGACTACTCAACCGGTCGTAAGTCAAGGACTACTCAACTGGTGCAGCACCGTTTGCAGAATGGGACTTTTGGCGGGCTCAGCAGGGCAGAGACAACCTGGACAATTCCTATTGGCTTTTGAAAGCCAATGGAATTAGACTCTATTCAAGAGAGTCTATTCTATTGGCTTTCAAAAGCCAATAGAATAAAAGGAAGTAGCACAGCTAAGGAAAAGGGGGAAAAAAATGGACTGTGTTTGGCGACCCCCGTGAAATGGTCGTTCGACCCCACATGGGGTCCCGACCCATGGGTTGAGAACCACTGCTTTAAGGTAAACAAAGGGTCAAAGTTCTTTGAAAAACTGCTTCTTTCGGAACGATGACATACGAAACCAGCATGTTAATTTCTTGTCCCAGTTTCTTGTGCTTTTTGTACATCAAAGCGTCTGCAAAGGAGAGTTTCCCCAAATGCTTCAGCAGTAACCAAAATTTTATTATTTTTTATTTTTCATTTTGGATATTACAATTTTGGGGCCCGAAAGAGAAGGAAACTAAGTTTAGACGCCTCAGATAATATGAGGTGATGGAAATTGCCTTTTGATTCCATTGCACCTAAAATGACAGGAATATCCCATTTTCCTCTTGAATGTGTATTTACCTCCCAGCCAGCCCAGAGCCCAAGGACCGCCTGGTGGTCTCCCATCCAGCACTGCTGAGCTTTCCTGGAGTGGCCAAGGCTGGCCAGGTGTGGCCTCTTAGCTGAGACAATGAAAGGGAGGGTCTCTCTCTGGGTCTGGCAAGATGGGGTTAAGGCAAGTCAGGAGCCCAGTTCAAAGTCAGGAGCTTCTCAGAGAAAAACTGCAAAGAGGGAAAGGGTTTGTGCTAAGTGACCGAGAGTCTTTTTGGAGTTGGGCAGGATTAACAAATTCAGGAAATAAATAGAAACATGGAATAAATATCCTACAGTACAGCAGACAGAAGCCTGGGGAAAAGAAGAGCATTTGCTGATAATTTTGTAGTAATTTTGGAAAACTTTTTTATAAGGAACAAAAATATTAATGGAAAAATTAATATTTTTGTTTTGGTCATTAGCTGGTTTTAAAATTAATAGTTGAAAGACAAAGATGGCAAAGTAAACATGAAAATGGGAGAGCAAATAGATTGGATTGGAAAAAAGTGTTTTGAAGAAAGAGTGAGAAACCTGAGCATTATTTTAAAATACAAATTGTATATCAAAATAATTATGTTAAGGCATGGGATGAAATCAAGAACGATGTGTTAAGATGGGGAAATTACAACTGTAGTTGGGGAGAATTTCTGTGATTAAAAATGAATGTATTACCTACTTTCATGATGTTTCTGTTTTAAGCAACATCTCTCTAAATAATAGGTGCATCCCTTAAGCCAGGGGTGTCAAACCTATGGCACGGGTGCCACCGCCCCAGCCCTAGGCCTTCAGGTGGGTTTTATTAAAAAACCTTTTCACTTTAGGGCTCCATCACCGTATGCAAAAAAAAAAAAAGTTCAATCAATTTCAACTTTTTGCAGGAAAAAAAAGATCTCGCAAATTTGGAATTGATTGATTCAACTTTTTAGTCCCACCCAGTGCCGTTACCACCGCAGCCACGCCCATCCAATGGGTCACGTCCACCCAATTGGCCACACCCACCCAGCACCCGACGATACATAAGTGGGTTTTGGGTTGCAATCTGGGCACTCGGTCTCTAAAATGTTTGCCATCACGGCCCTAAATGGAATTTTCCTCCAATGGGATTTTCCCATGTATTTTAGCACGAAAGATAGATAGGTCAGGCTAGAAAACTCAGTGCCCTGCTAACTATACCCAAGCACTCCGAATTTGTTGGCAATGTCCCTTTTGCTCTCTGAGTTCATGGTGACATAACCCTACCCCTGAGTAGAATTTTTCTCCAATGCAATTTTCCCATGTATTTTACCAGGAAACATAGATGGGGCAGCCTAGAAATGTCTGTGCCCTCCTAACCATACCCAAGTACTCCGAATTTGTTGGCAATGTCCATTTTGCTCTCTGAGTTCATGGTGACCTAACCCTAACCCTACGTCCGTGATGGCGAACCTATGGATGCGTGCCACAGGTGGCATGCAGAACCCTCTCTGTGGGCGCATGCGCCGTCACCCCAGTCCTAGGCCTTGAGCTGGTTGTACAAAACCTTTTTGCTTTAGGCCTCGACCATCGTGTGAAAAAAAAAAAAGTTAAATCAATCAATTTCAACTTCTCGTGAGAAAAAAAAAGATCTCGCAAAGGTGGAGCTGATTGGTTGAACTTTTCAGTTCCACCCAGTCTGCTGTTACCACTGCAGCCACGCCCATCCAATTGGCCACGCCCACCCGGCACCCAATGATATATAAGTGGGTTTTGGGTTGCAGTTTGGGCACTTGGTCTCTAAAAGATTCGCCATCACTGCCTTAAGCAATCTAGGTTTATATGCCGAGAGAAAAACCAAGAGTTTAATTTAAAACTCTTCAGGATGCAAAGAAAAGGGGATAGCCTGATTGGGAAATTCTCCTTTGCAGCCTCTTCAGTTTGGACAAAAAGAATGAGCTTTACTGAGAAATAAGAGAATTATAAAATAACAAGAGCAGGAGCTGACGTTTGGGTGGCCTGGTTTTGATGTGGTACAACCTCAACAATCCTCGTGATGGAAGTGATGCATTGAGAATACGGAAGGGATGTAAGCCCAGTGGGTGCCCGAGAAAGCCCTGGCAGAGGAAGGCCATGTATGGGAAAGGAAGAGAGCAGGCAAAGGGGAACGGTCACGTATGGAAGTTGTTAGAAAAAAGGAACGTGGGAGAATACAAGGGGAAGTCAGGAGATCAGCAGAGGGATTTAGCTTCTCACAGTTTTTCTCTGTAGAGTCGAGAAAAAGATTGAAAGTGGACAAAAGGACACTTGGAATTAAACACAACCTATTGGGAGACAGAATTTGAAACTGAACTCCTCTATTTGCAAATGATGACTATGAAATGGGTAAAAGATATCAACTTTTTCTAAAAACTGAAATGGACAAAAAACAAGTTAAAGAGTGTGCAGCTAGTCCTCGACTTACAACAGTTCCTTTAGTGTCTGTTCAAAGTTACAACAGCACTGAAGAAAGCAACATATGACTATTGCAGCATCCCCATTCACACGATTGGCAGCTGACTCCTCTTTATGATGGTGGGAGTGTCCTAGGGTTGTGTGGTCACTTTTTGCGACTTTCTGACAAGCAAAGTCAAGGGGAAGCCAGATCCATTTAACAACCATGTCGCTATCTTAACAAGTGCAGTGATTCACTTAACAACTTTGGCAATAAAGGTCCTAAAAATGGGGCAAAACTCACTGTCTCGCCTGGCAACAGAAATTTTGGGCTCTATTGTGGTCGTAAGATGAGGACCACCTGTATGACGAAACGGGCCAGAGGTTTTGGTTATTCTGTGCCATCAAGTCTGTGTCGACTCTTAGCAACTGCATGATGAACCTTCTCCAGAATGATCTCTATCCCCAACCGGATCCTTCAGGTCCCCCGATGGATCCTGTATCGCCACTTTACCTGGATACCCCCCTGGTTGCCCTCTTCTCATTCCCCCCATCTTTCTCAACATCAGAGCCGCCTTCTTAAAGCAAACATTGCTACAGACTATCTCTGATTGATGACAGTTTAAGCCTGGTCTATTTATTCCTGGAGTAAGAATTCTGGTTGGTTTTTTGTGTGATCCATTTGTCTGTTTTCTTGGCTGTCCAGGATCACCTCAGGAATTTTCCACAACACCAAAGTTCAAGACCTGTCCACCCTCTTCCTGTCCTGCTTCTTCAAAGTCCAATTTTCGTTTCCGTAGAAGGTCACGGGAAATATCTGAATATTGTGATCTTAGGTTTATGTTCCTCTAGCCTCCGTCAATAAAAGGGAGTTCTAGAATTCTTCTGGGTTTTGTTTCCTGATTTAGCCTCCGTTTGAGGAGCTGAGATCCAGCTTCAAGGCCTGGTGGCCTTTTTTCTTTCCTTTCTAAAAACAGGCAAGCAACTTGGCCACTCTAGGAAAGCTCGGCAGTGCTGGAGGGGAGACCACCAGGAGATCCTTGGGCTCTGAGCTGGCTGGGAGATAAATACACATTCAAGAGAAAAATAGGATATTCCTGTCATCCTTAGATTCTTGTAACAATTTACATTTGGTTCTCGCTTTCTTTTTTTGCCATATAAATCTTAGAATCATTGCATTTAAATCATCAAAAAATTCTTAGTAAGTTTAATAGGCACTGTTTGAAATAAGAAAATTAGCTTTGGTAAAATGTTCATCTTAACCGTCGCTATTCTTCCTAAAAGTGATAGTTTTATTTATTTATTTATGAGACTTATATACTGCTTTAAGTGCAAGCAATCTCTAAGCCAGCGGTTCTCAACCTATGGGTCGCGACCCCATTTGCGGTCGAACGACCATTTTACGGGGGTCGCCAAACAACGCGATCCGCCATTCCCCCCCTCAGGGGGCGCTGTGCATGGGGGGAGCGCCGCCGCGCATGCGCGCCGCACATGGGGGGCCGGCGCTGTGCATGTGCGCCGCACGTGGGGGGCCATTGCTGCGCATGCACGCCACGCATAGGGCGTGCATGGGGCGGCGGTGCGCATGCGCGGGACGCATGCGCGGCGCATCCGTGTGACGGGGATCGCCGTCACACAAACATTGAGAAACACTGCTCTAAGCGGTGTACACCAGTAAGCAATGTATATATATATTTACATTGCCCCCAACAATTTTACCTACCCGGGAAGGATGGAAGGCTGAGTCAACCTTGAGCCGGTGAGATTTGAACCGCTGACCTGCTGAACACAGTCAGCTAAAGTGGCCTGCAGTACTGCACTCTAACTGCTGCGCCACCTCGGCTCATTACAGATTAGTTGAAGATTTTCCCATCTTTCCAAGTCTATTTTTATTTGTTTCATTAATCTCATAATTATCTTCTTTTAGTGTAGTTTATTTCGCCGTTAAATAAATACCCAAATATTTAACTTTTTTAACTATTTGAAGATTTGTCATGT